TTTGTTTACAAATGTTATTTACTATTTTTTTAAATTACTTTAAAATATGAATCCTTTTCTAAAGATTTAATGTCTGAGAAGATGTACGTACACTGTCCCCGGTTAGGAGAGGGTTTGGTGCCAGCTAACATGTTTAACCCGCCACATTCTGTATGTACCTGTCCATAGTCAGGACCCTGAATTTTGGTGGTTGTTGATTGTTGCTGTATATCATATTTGTTTTTCATTATTGTTTTGTACATTAATCAGACTGCTAGTTTATTGTTAGACTTGTTTTACATTTGTCATTTCCTGGCCTTTTATAGCTTACTATGCAGTATGGGTTTTGCTCATTGTTGCAGACTGTATGGTGGCCAATAGTAGTTAACCTCTGTCAACTTCTCCATACACTGAGGAATAAATTTAACTTATGGAGGAACAATCTTATCAGAATTATTGTGTCCCACAGTGGTGTATGGTTTAATTCCACTATGTACTCGAGTTTTCATATGCCACATTAGCAGTTTATGGATCAGCTGGTGCCACTTTGCACACAAACTGTTTTAACCATACTTGAAACAATCTGAAGTGCTGTAATTTTCTTGTATATTATATTACACAAAATGCTGATGTTGTTGGCCTAGCAATGATGCAATATATACATTATTGTACTTCTAAGTGTCTAATCTATAAAATTTACAACATATTTAATACAAACATTTTTTTAATATTTTAATAGTCTTCATTTCTTAGATATTAAAAATAAGTGACAAAAATGTATTCTGTAAATAAAAAATTCAAAAATCCATAATCGAAAATACTGCTGCTCAATTAGTAATTCTCCTTGGTACAATTTAACTTTGCTCTTGAATTGTCAAGTATACAAACTAAACTTTCATGTTTCTGCACAATGCATCAATATTATGAATTCAAACTATCTTTATATAACTTGTTGCAAAAACTTTCTGATAACTGTGTATACTTCTTAGTGTGCAATAATATCTCTCTCTATGTAGTAACAGTTACACAGATTCTGTCGAATCATAGTTCTGAAAGTATTGTGAGACAGTCTCTAAAAATAACTGGCCCTATTTAAGCAAACTTAATAACAAATAATATTCATGTGTTGTAACCGTTGGCAATTTTGTAATAATTCCTGTCAGATACCTGAACCAAAATTTGTCTGAATTGTCGACATATGACCTGGTAAAAATCTTCAAAACTGATCATATCTGTAGATACACATGTAAATGTCTTCAAAACATCATAATGGTCTAGAGTTTCATTACTGTCATGGAATTATTGTGGTGACTAGTCATTCCAGCTACTAGAGAGAATCATGTATTGTACATGTATGTCTTGCCTCTTCTAGGATAAGCCAAAACTTGGAATCTAGCTGAAATAAAAACAAATACAATAGTTATATTGTATAGACGGGTTTATCTATAATTGACCTAGAAAACATGGGCGCATCCATTAACCTCTCACGTGACCGATCCGCCATTACAACCGTGAAAAATAACGCACGTGTATTGATCAAAACATTATCGATTTTCTGTTTACATTTGTATTTCCTTCATTTTCTTATTTATTTTACTATGGATACTGCCGAAAGTTATAAAAAAAGGTGGAGGCATTTCTTGTGCAGTTAATATTTGTCCAAATAATTGTAGAAAATTTCAGATGTGCAAAAAAAAATCAATAAATAAAATATGCGAACTATACAAGTTGTGCAGACTGCACACAATCCTTTTTTTTTAATAAAACTTTTTATGAAAGTAAAATTACACTGGCAGACGTATGTTGACACGTTGTCAAACGAAATTATCTATGAAAATTAATCCGATGACTACAGTGCATCTGTCTCTGTTTGTATAGAAGATCTACACATTAGATGGATCCAGGATTTTGAAAGGGGGCCGCGGGTCCCCAAACAAGACACAATTTGTAGTGGAAGCGGTAAAAAGTCTGAATTAACCATGAATGAAACTTCATAAGGGGGCCTGGGCACCCCCTAAATCCGTTCCTGCACATTTCTTTAGATAATAATAATGAAACCTACCCCGAGGCTACATGCATGCATTGGATGCAAATCAAACAAGTATGAAGAGACGATTTTTTTTTTTATACATGACGACTATCTTTAGGCTGCAAAATGGACAGACGTTCCGACAACATTAACTCAGACAAACATATTATTAACAGAGGAGTAAGGAGTTCAAAATTGAATAAAATCAGGAAACCACGTCGATCAGCGTATAAATATACATATTATGAATGACAGTTACGCCTTATTGTATACTTGTCTTATGTAACTAATGTTTCTATACTTTAGTGGAATAAATACACAATTTACTTTTCAACTACGATATTGCAGATCAGCTGTTGCTTGATCGTACTGATTTAAAGGTTAACACTTAGTTTGATGTTTGGTTATTTGGGACGGCACTTTCATATTTCAAATTAAGGCTAGTAAACTATTTTATTCCTGGTGCCAGTTCTTGCTGAAAAACTTAAAGGTTTTACAAACAGCTGCATCCATAGACAAATCACAGCAAAACTTACTATTAAGGGCACTTCTTTATAAACCTCGTCTTAATGGTCCATATATATGAAGGAATGTGTGCTTAAATAGATATAAGAAGATGTGGTTTGAGTGCCAATGAGACAACTCTCCATCCAAGTAAAAATTTATAAAAGTAAACCATTATAGGTCAAAGTTCGGTCTTCAACACGGAGCCTTGGCTCACACCAAACAGCAAGCTATAAAGGGCCCCAAAAATTACTTAAGACCATTCAAACGGGAAAACCAACGGTCTAATCTATATAAAAAGTATATATTCACTTTAGTCGGATGGTCCAATATACATCCCTAATGTAATACTGTAATTCTGTATTTCACTGTATTATATATATCGGGGACTCATAAAGGAGTCTTATACAGATTCAGGATGAAAATATACGAGACCTCTGTTTTGGGGTGGTGGGGAGGGGGAAATTGGCAAAACACTAAATGACGCTTTTAAAACATAATTCTAAGCATTGCTTTTAATTTACACGTTTGCGTCTTTTGTGGTTTAATGACATTCATTTATTTTCAGCACGGGCCGGAGCATGATGTTATAGGCTATGCATACTAGTAGTTTCATGTCAAGCAATTTTTCTACAAAAGAAATTGGAATCGAACACCTACTAACTATATGATAACATGGGCTGTGAAAGTTCAAAACTTCTTCGGCCCAATTAAATCGCAAAGTTAAGTCTACATATGGCCGACGCACTGATAGCATATAGCGCAATTCACGCGGAGACAAAAGTGATACGAAAACATCACTAAATTTTGAGCAGTATACGTGAGTTGAACCAAAAGCAAAAATATCGTTTCTGTGAAAAAAGTTTATCATCAAACGGTACATGTCTATAGGTATAATTTTTTCAGAAGATGTAAGTAACCGCACGCCGGAGAAAACAAGCTGTCGAATAAAGGACCGTCGGGTTAGAAGATTTTTGAATTTTAGGACTGCCTCATTATAGGTTTGCATGACTACAGAAATTTCTATGAGTTTGATAAAATTGCACCTGGTTTTTCTGATATATCACATTCGACCCGCAAGACAATTTATTTTTATTTATGTACGGGTTATAATAATCAATATTATGATTGCCAAATGATTATAATCGATATGTAACCTGGGATTCGTATTCGCAAATATTATGTCCCGGTTCTAACGTATCAAATAAAATTAGTTATATTTTAAGGACACGACACTTGGCCTGCAATACACTTATAATTTTAATGTCCATTCCTTATCTAATTACTTTATTATTTACTTTGATATTTTCCCGAGGTCAAGTACGCTTCACATTCTTGTGTTTACGTTAATATATGCGGTCTGGGAAATAGATGTATATCTTGTTTACATTTTTTTCACGGTTGTAATGGCGATTGTACTACAACGACGTCTAGGAGTCGCGTCACAAACTAAGGCAGATAATTGGAAAAACCTGTCTATATTTTGACAAATAGCATGTCGTCTTTGATCTCAAGTTCGTTTTGACACTTTTCCTATATATGTGCTCTTTGAAATAATAGTGTAAAAAATTAAGGACTAGCATCGTCGTCAGTTGTTTTATGTTAAATACCTTTTATTCCTGGTACTCTATAGAGTAGATCAAATAAAATAAAAATCAGAGTGAACGAACCCAGGGCCAACAGGTATGAGGGCGAACGGACCCAGGGCCAACAGGTATTCGGGCGAACAGGTACTAGGGCGAACGCGAATCAGGGCGAACAGACCTGGATTCGACAGAACCCACCTTGTAATGAATGAAATGAAAAGAGCGATCTGATTGGTCCATTTTTTCAAGGACCTTTACATCGACCAATCACATCTCTCGTTTTATTTCATTCATATGTAACTTGATTTGACCTAACTTGAGGTCAGTTATGAATAAACGGAATAGTATAATAGGAACTTCGAAGGTATTCTAATGTGCATACATTTAATTAAGATCAATTAAATAACCATATTTATCTCTAACCAAACAAACAAAAAGAATATAATGATTAATAATACTTACCTTTATTTCATCAGAATCCTCCAAATTTACACGGACTTCAGTTATAAATCCTTGATATTTATGTTTCGTCTTCTAGGTTTAAATTCCCGACAAACAATATTCCTGCACGTTGCCATTTGGCTAATATAAACAACTTGTATTTAGAAATTTTTCGGAGATGAAATATTTCATACAATTGTTCTTTGACATCTTAACCAAAAGCACAGGGGATAATAAAAAATGTACAGATTTCTATTGAGCACTATTTCCTATGTGCAACGTCAATTATTTTACGTTGTTCGACAATCATTTAAGGTTATTCTGGCCAATCAGTTATGAATAACCTATTAGCCTGCAAGATAATAACAATGGCACCTATTTCAGCATTCATTGGGAAAAAGGCAAATCTAGAGTGCTAGCATAAGGCAGCTTAACTGCCTAAATAATAAATGTGACATTACCTTGTAAGAAACTGTATCCAAAAAGTTTTTCTTCATATAGTCTATCTGTATTTTTATTTCTTTGTCAAAATGGTCAATCCTCTGTAAAAGAATATATGTAAGTCTATTATTTTTGTACTTTCTTATGAAGGCTGCCATTCTTTTTTAAGTTAAAAACTAGAGGCCCTAAAGAGCCTGTGTAACTCACCTTGGTCTATGCGCATATTTCACAAAGAACACTCTCCAACATGGTAGACGAGAATAGAATTCATGGCAAAAAATCTCTGTTTTGTTGATCTTGTATTACTGATCATTTAGTCTGTTTAGTTTCTCTCTATCTTCTTTAGTTTTTGCTCAAAACACAAAAGAGGGTAAAAAAAAATCCTCATTTAAAGGCAATCACTCCTATAAAGAGTGAGTCTACTAACTATATCGGCAAAATTTGACTTGTAAGTAGATCTTGCCTATCTGATCCTTTTTGTGATTTAAAATGTCTATTTATCTATTATAATTTTTATCATAATAATTTTTATCATATAAGGCAAAACACAAAAAATGGTAAAAATCGTCATGAAAGGGCAATAACTCTAATAAGGAGTCCACTGACGATTTCGACCATTAGACTCATTTGCAGAATTTGTCTTGCTGATCATATTTGCAATTTAAAGTTTAAAAATGGTAAAAATCGTCATTAAATAACTCCAATAAGGAGTCGTCGGACGATTTCCTTCAAATTGTCTTAATTGTAGATCTTGTCTTATTGATCATGTTTGCTCATTTAAGTTCTATCTATCTATTATATTTTTTAAGATATAGGGCAGAAACGCAAAAAATTGGTAAAAATCGTCAACAAAGGGCAATAACTCTAATAAGGAGTCGACTAACGATTTCAACCAATGTAGACTTATTTGTAGAACTTGACTTGCTGATCAATTTTGCACTTTTAAAGTTTCTTCTTATCTATCATAGTTTTCAAGATAATAGGCATAATGAAAACAAATGGTAAAATTTGTTATTTAGGGAAATAGCTCCTATAAGAAGTTGTCTAACAGTTTTGACGTAAAGGACAATTGGTGGAGGTCAAAATTCTGAACATTTTTGCTTCTGTTTATTTATATCAGTTTTCAAAATAATAGACAAAACTTGCATTTTACCCCTATGTTCTATTTCTAGCCATGTCAGCCATCTTGGTTGGCAGGCGGGGTCATCGGACACAACTAGATACCCCAATGATGATTGTGGCCAAGTTGGGTTAAATTTGGCCCAGAAGTTTCAGAGGAGAAGATTTTTGTAAAAGATAACGACGATGAAGACGACGGACGACAAATGCCAAGTGATGAGAAAAGCTCAATTGGCCCTTTGGGCCTGGTGAGCTAAAAACAAAAAAAAATGGGTTGAGCATAAACATAATATGGCATTATTTTTTTGTCATCCTGTCTATTCTTTCTACTGCAATTTACTTGCTTGAATTGAACAAGAGTGCACATGCTGAAATGTCTCGCCTTCTTTACTGACCATTGATTTTATGTTGATAATACTAAATATAAAGCTTTACTAAAAGTATCACATAAACTTAACTTGATCCAAGAAAATGAAGTCAAGGTTAGATGAACCAAACTGAAAATACATGTATACCTTACAATCATTCAATACACCAAATATAGTTGACCTATTGCTTATAGTATAAAAGAAACAAACTTAACCATGAAAACTTAACATTGACCAATGAACCATGAAAATGAGGTCAAGGTCAGAGGATATCTGCCAGACAGACATATACACATTACAATCATTCCATACAACAAATATAGTTGACCTATTGGTTATAGTTTAAGAAAAACAGACCAAAACACAATAAACAGCTGCGCCATAAGCGCTGATAGGCCCGTCCCTTTTTCAAAGAATAAAGTTCAAAAACTTCTCAATGTCATATCAGAATTTTTTTAAAAAACTAAAGGGAGGTTATCTTAATAGATATAAACAAGTCACCAAAGTTTCACGAAAACTGCTCAAAGCACTTTAAAGATATTGTCTGAAAACTGGAAAATCACCCCTTTTTATAAATAAAATCCCATAACTCAGAAACATATGACAGATGGAAACTTCATAACATAAGGCATCTATATACAAAGTATGAAGCATCCAGGTCTTCCACCTTAGAAATTATTAAGCTTTTAAGAAGTTAGCTAATGCCGACGCCGAATCACTATCCCTATGTTGATCTGGACAAAAACCATTTATCCGTGTTCTTTATGTATTTTTCTGTGTTATTTATGTTCTATACCAATAGCAGGGCTCACACTACTTCAGAATCATAGGGAGAAGTGACTTCTCTTTTTGAAACTGAGAGGGAGAAGTGGTGAGATTTGAAAGAGAAGTGCTCGTTCGCTCGCGGCGCTACAATGTTTGGTTTTTACTATAATACGAAGAGCCATATGTATCTTATTTTTTTTTTATTGTTCAATTTGTACCTGGGTATACAATTAAAGTAACAGTTCAAACTCAAAGTTGTTTAATTTTATCATATCTAGTTGCACAATCATATTAGTCCTCTTGTCAGAAAAAAACAATTAAATATCTGGCAATAATAAAAAAAAATTTTTTATATCAAAAAGGAAAAGAAAGTTGTTATATCAATTAAAATTCAATTAAAAACTACTCTGTTATCATGTTTATTTCTCCTTAAAAAGATATTTAAATTTAACAGTTTTATTTAACACAGTTAAGCTTTGACATAATATAATTATATTAGTGTATTAGTTCCAGAGTTGAGCAACTTTAATTTATAAATTGAAACAATGCATATACATGGAAATATATACATTAATCAAGAAGATCTAATCAAAAGTATGTTAATGCTTGTGGAATGTGTAATTTTTCCTTTAAGGATCTGTCAGCTGTGCCATTCATGCATCCGTAGTCATTATCGCAGGAATCCGGATTTCGGTCATAGCTGGTCCGTTCCAATGAAATCCCGACTCCGATCCGTAGTTTAACAATAATTTGCCCAAAAATTTAAATGGCTTCTTAACATTCATTTAGAACCACTGTGTAGACATCTTATATATAGATTGCACCATAAGCGGTACGAATTACTGAAAATTATGCCTCAGAAGAAGAATAGGAAATGCGGCATTAAATATAAGTAATTTCCATAGTGTAGTCAGATCACCTCTATGCAATATATAAATATCTAAAATGAAATTTTACAATATCAATTTTAGATTTTAAGATCGAACACAAATATTTTATGTGTGGATAAAGAACTTTTATCAGTGTAAATAATTCTTACGGATTTACTGTAAATATTGGTGGAGGATATTCAGTGTATATATCTAACATTTCTTACATACCGTACTCCGGGTTCCAGGAGGTGTGCCTTGATTGGCAGAAGATATTTACAGATGGATAGATAGATAGAATGGCGGACAAAGAAAAATTTACAAAAATAAACGATGTTTGACACGCTATTTAGAAGGGAATATGACGTTTTTAATGCAATATAAGGATAACCAATTTACTTCAGGCAAAATTTCATCACGTTCTAATGAAGTAACAAGCTTATTTGGCAAAAATTTAGAATGATTTGATGTACGCTCTCGAATAACAAGTACCGGAAGTGATAAAAAAAATTGTCTTTTGAAAGTAACATGCAACAAACTTTAAAATCAATGCTTTAACCTCTTTTCTAAAAAAAAATAAAACTTTGTGTCTTTGAAATCCTTTACTTTCAAAGGAAAAATTGCTGTTTCATCGACTTGGTAAATGTTGAATATTGCCGATGACGAAAGCGACTGAAAGTGAGTATCCTGAACAACAGGGCGAAATTGTGTGTTTTTGTTTATCAATTATATGACATTTGTTCCATCATGGAGTATTGAGGATACGAGAAAGAACTTTTTATCCTAAAATAGTTTTCCAAAAATAGCCAAGTCTCATCTGCTTGATCAATGTACATCAACAACCAAATCATACTCTGATCATAATTTATAAAAAAAAATGTAATGAGTGGAAATATCATCACATATGTAGACCACAAAAAGGGGAAATATGTAGACTACAAAAACAGGAAATGTAGACTATCAAAAAAAAGAAATTAATTTGTCAATACTGCCAATATTGTAATGTTTTATTGATAAAAAGGGAAAACACAAATTTTTAATAAATGTAACTGTATTAAAGAACTCTTACAGTTAATACTAAAAGAAGGTTTAAAGTACTTAAAGCAGTACTGGAGTATTTTGTCATCTTGGATCCCAAATGACTGCAAATAATTTGTGATTCATTTCATTTAAATGAAGAAATTTATACAATTTATCAAATTGTAATAAGCTTTTTTGGCAAGTACAGAACATTTTTTGACTGATATAAATTAAAAAAACTTGATTTTTATAAGGGGATTTAGTTTATAACAAAACATACTGCAAAACTAGAGGCTTTAAAGAGCCTGTGTCGCTCACCTTGGTCTATGTGCATATTAAACAAAGGACACAGATGGATTCATGTGTTTTGGTGATGGTGATGTGTTTGTAGATTTTACTTTACTGAACATTCTTGATGCTTACAATTATCTCTATCTATAATGAACTTGGCCCAGTAGTTTCAGTGGAAATTGTTTTGTAAAAATTTACAAAATTTATGAAAATTGTTAAAAATTGATTAAAAAGGGCAATAACTCCTTAAGGGGTCAATTGACCATTTGGTCAGGTTGACTTATTTGTAGGTCTTACTTTGCTGTACATTATTGCTGTTTACAGTTTATCTCTTATCTATAATAATATTCAAGATAATAACAAAAAGCTGAACGCGGATCAGACACAATTTTTAAACTACATACCCTAATGATGATTGTTTACAACTTTGGTTAAATTCATCTTAGTAGTTTCAGAGAAGATTTTTGTAAAAGATAACAAAAATTTACGAAAAATTGTTAAAAATTGACTATAAAAGGGCAATAACTCCTTAAGGGGTCAACTGACCATTTTGGTCATGTTGTCTTATTTGTAGAACTTACTTTGCTGAACATTATTGCTGTTTACAGTTTATCTCTATCTATAATAATATTCAAGATAATAACCAAATACGGCAAAATTTCCTTAAAATTACTAATTCAGGGGTAGCAACCTAACAACGGGTTGTCCGATTCATCTGAAAATTTCAGGGCAGATAGATCTTGACCTGATAAACATTTTTATCGCGTCAGATTTGCTCTCAATGCTTTGGTTTCAGAGATATAAGCCAAAATCTACATTTTACCCCTATGTTCTATTTTTAGCCATGGCAGCCATCTTGGTTGGTTGGCTGGGTCACCGGACACTTTTTTTAAACTAGATACCCTAATGATGATTGTGGCCAAGTTTGGTTAAATTTAGCCCAGTAGTTTCAGAGGAGAAGATTTTTGTAAAAGTTTACGGACGATGGACGTGGGACAACGGATGCCAAGTGATGAGAAAAGCTCACTTGGCCCTTTGGGCCAGGTGAGCTAAAAAAAGGTGAAATATACCAAAGGGACATTTAAACTCATAAGTTGTAAATAAAGTGACAAACACCATAGCAAAAGACGAAAAAGACCAAAAGACAAACAACAGTTTATAAAACACAACATAGAAAACTTAAGACTAAGCAACACAAACACCAAAAACTTGGGGTGATCTCAGGTGCTCCGGAAGGAAACTTGTAAATTTACCTTTTTTATTATGTTTCAAGGTAAGGCAGTTGATGAACAAAAGGATATACATCAATAAAAAAACAACAAAACACATAAAAAAACATCTAGAAAGCAACATCCAGTATTCAATAATAGACAAGCATTCATACAACATTTCAAGCTCTTAATCAGCCTGACTCTATCAAAGGTTTTAACTAATTAAAAAGAAACATTCCAATCAAAGATCTGTAATAAACACTGAATTCTTCAAATGATAAAAAAATATTTAGATATAACAAAAAAACAACCACTGATGAGGTTTCTGACTAAAGCAACCCAATTTTTTCTTTTGTTTTCTAAATACCTATATAAGAGCTATCCCCTCATATCACTTGTCAAATTCCATCATTTGTTTTTTTTTCTAGCCACATAATAGTACTTTTTCAGTGAATCTTCTTCACAAAATAGGTTAACTTTTGTACAACCTGTTGCTTGAAAACAAGCGAAGTAACCTTCAGGCCTCTACATTATCATTTTTTCTAACTTGTCCCTTCGGACAAGTTGCAAGAAAATCAACTTGTCCGAACTCTTAACTCACTTGTCCGAATTAAAAATTGAAAATCTTAGATATTGATGATATGCACCAATAACACTTGAGCTTTGATTGTACCTAATGAAGGGAGCAATTTGCTATGCTATATGAATTTGTTTGTAACTAAATAAAGAATACCATATCAAAATTCATTTTATTATTTCAGACTGAAAGATTATTTGCAAGACTGAGTTCTCTGACTCAATGTCACTATCATGTGTCGATCATTAAATCATCATCACTTCCCAAATCACTAGGTTCTCTTATGGACCTATCCATTCTGTAGTAGTCGTATGGATTAAACCAAGCATGCTTTGGTCTTCCTGTAGACCACCACCTTATGAAAACATGACATTACTGACAGACATTTCTAATACAGGCATGGCGTACAAACGACCTTTTTTGTAAAAAAAAATTATATAGAAGAAGACCGAACTTTCTTGATCCATTTAAACTTTGTGACTGTCTCACAGGTAAACAATCCAATGTGTATGTAAATACACCTGGCCACCTTGTGAATTCCAACTGATTAAAACATGTTAGAGATCAATTTTGGGGGAATTTATAAGTCTTGAATTTGATATATTTTACATCTGACATCGATTTTTCACTTGTCCCATCGGACAAGTAGTAAGTGGAATCTACTTGCCCGACATCTGTGTCCACTTGTCCCGGACAATCGGACAAGCGGTAATGTCGAGCCTTGACCTTCTTATTCAAATTTGTATTATTAAATATTTTATAAATACAGTCCAACGTTGTTGTGTCAGTTGTGTTGAAAACTCGGAGGAGTAGAAGTAACTTCTCGGTCCCGGTAAAATTCCTGTTTGATCAATGCATAATTACCTCTGATGAGTTGAACTCGGTTGATTGGAATACCCGGTTAAGTGCAGTAAATTTTATAGTCATTTCGATGTAAAATTAATGTAAATTGACCCTGATGTCTCGAATTTCGAAAGTAAGAATTTTCGAAAGATGCAGACCTAATGATAAAAATTCAAATCGGATGTATTTCTTATGTAACCTAATCATTTTCAAAAGAAATTAAAGCTGAGTAAACATACTTGTCTGTATAACAGTTGAAATGACATGTTTATGGTGACCGATAATTAATTAACACCTTTGTTGATCGTCCAACCCGAACGTTAAGTGTGTTGAACATATTTCACCGGACATAAAAACGAAACGAATTTAAATGACCCAAGCCGAGATTAAATGAATCTTTAGAATTAAAATTAATTACAATAAATAAAAGGATTAAGACAATTATGATAAATTCATAATAATTTAATGTAAAGCAGACAACCTCATCAGAGACAGTTCAGAACTTGTTTCATTCCGCAAGTGATTTCATAATCTATAGTGACTGACCTTTGTAAATATTTGCTTATACTATTGCTTTTATTTGTGCATGATTTGTTTCTGTATTTGTGTGTTTAATTAATTATGAAGGACCAAAAAATATGGAGATTAAATGTGTTATATCGAAAAAAAGGCACACTGTTCAAAGTATCTAGCTTGTACAAATCTATTACCGTATATCATGCATTTCAAATTTATGACGACACACACGACCTCTGATGAGTCGACCTCGGTTAAGTCGAATACTTAGGTCTGGTCCCTTCGACTTCGACATAACAAGGTTTGACTGTAGTATGATTAAAAATACATTTTGCCAAAGTATACACAAATTGTATTATAATTTTCGTTTCTTTCCCATATCCTGCTAAAATAGAACTCATGTTGTCTGTCGCGCCAATATTTACTTCTAAGTAGGTTTAATACAGCAATGTCGAGAACACTGCAAAAAAGTGCAATCTTGTGGAATGCCCAAAGCAGAATTATACAGAATCCTGATCTGTCCTGAACAAAACTATTGTTGATAGTAAGTGCAGATTTTCATGATGTCCAACGTATTAATTAACTCATGTTATATTTTCTTCACATTTAAATATTCAACATTATATTCTAAGAATGTATCTGATTGTTATAATCTTAAGCCACAGATTCATTCTCTATCATACAACACATGAAACAATAAATTAAAATACTCTTTCATAAAAATTAATATGACAAAATCTAGAGACTTTTCCTCTTTATTGATAATCCTAATTCTTACATCTTACCTTACGTTTTTACCCTACCGCACAATCACCACTTCAGGTGTTGGTTCACTTATATATTTTTTCATCTTACCTTATAGTAAAAACTTCTTTGTTTTGCCTCCTGCAGCCTTTTAACAGAACTACCTTTAACACCACTTGATACTATTAAGATAAATTAAAAAACAGGTTAATTTAGGTATCAAAACATATTATGTTCTTCCAACTGAAATCTATAGAATCCTGTGGTATTTAATATGCATGTTTTTGTAAAAGAGAGGCGAAAGATACCAGAATGACATTCAAACTCATAAGTCGAAAATAAACTGACAAAGCCATGGCTAAAAAAGAAAAAGACCAACAGACAAACAATAGTACATAAAACACAACATAAAAAAATCAAAAGACTATGATAAGATAATACAGTTATGATATTACTCGCACACTAGAAAGTATCAGTACATTTTGTAATTTCTTTATTAATATATTATTTGTAATTTATTATTTTTTTAATTTCAACAAGCCTAAGAAGTTTCCTGGCTCATACTTTGACCAAAATTTGCTTAAGTTTAATTTGACATTACAGGATGTCATACTAATTCTAACAATAAAAGAAAATGTTAAACAACTGATCACCAACTCGTGATGAATAACTTCTTCTTGGCCTTAAAATTAACCAAAGATAATAAAATTCAGTAACATTTAAACAAACCCTTTTCAAAGAATCTGTTTGGATCAGAAGCAGCTCTTTCAAATTTTTCTAATTTTCCCAGAAACTCCTCTCTTTTCTGGATTAATTCTGTTGCAAGCTCCCATCTTTCAATAGCCTGAAGTAATGAAATGAATATTATTGTATCTATTTGTGATGGCAACACCATTCTATAATGTTAATTTCTGTATCTATTTGAAATGGCAACAGCATTCTATAATGTTATTTTCTGTATCTGTTTGTAATGGCAACAGCATTCTATAATGTTATTTTCTGTATCTGTTTGTAATGCCAACACCATTCTACAACGTTATTTTCATATCCTAATGGCAACACCATTCTACAATGTTATTTTCCTATTTTAATGGCAACACCATTCTATAATGTTAATTTCTGTATCTATTTGTAATGACAACACCATTTTATAATATTGTTTTCCTATTTGTAATAGCAACACCATTCTACAATGTTATAATCCTATTTTAATGGCAACATTATTCTATAATGTTAATTTCTGTATCTATTTGTAATGGCAACACCATTCTATAATGTTATTTCTGTATCTGTTTGTAATGGCAACAGTATTCTATAATGTTATTTTCTTAATTAACTTTAAAATCAATGCTTTAACCTCTTTTCTAAAAAAAACAAATCGTATATCTTTGAATTTCTTTACTTTCAAATGAAAAATTGCTGTTTCATCGACTTGGTAAATGTTGAATATTGCCGATGACGAAAGCGACTGAAAGTGAGTATCCTGAACAACAGGGCGACTAGATTTCGCTTTTGACGGCCGGGAAAAGCAAAGTGACGGACAGGAAAGCGACTGTGTCGCCCCAGTCCCCTGCTAGCGTGAGCCCTGAAAAGTAAGCTACTAAGCAATCTTATTGGAGTCTGAGATCAGTACTTATGCGCTAATTATACACTTAAATTGCATAAGAATATGGAACATGAACATTTTGTTTTATACCAATTCCTCACATCAAAGAAACTTGTTAGAGAGCCAATGAATAAATATTAGGGGTTAAATTGTGTGTTTTTGTTTTATTATCAATTATATGACATTTGTTCCATCATGGAGTATTGAGGATACGAGAGAGATCTTTTAATCCTAAAATAGTTTTCCAAAAATAGCCAAGTCTCATCTGCTTGATCAATGTTCATCAACAACCAAATCATACTCTGATCATAATTTTAAAAAAAAATGTAATGAGTGGAAATATCATCACATATGTAGACCACAAAAAGGGGAAATATGTAGACTACAAAAACAGGAAATGTAGACTATCAAAAAAAAGAAATTAATTTGTCAATACTGCCAATATTGTAATGTTTTATTGATAAAAAGGGAAAACACAAATTTTTAATAAATGTTAACTGTAAAAAGAATCTTACAGTTACTAAAAGAAGGTTTAAAGTACTTAAAGCAGTACTGGAGTATTTTTCCTATCTTAATGGCAACACCATTCTACAATGTTATTTTCCTATCTTAATGGCAACACCACTCTACAATATTATTTTCCTATTTAAATGGCAACACCATTCTATAATGTTAATTTCTGTATCTATTTGTAATGACAACACCATTTTATAATGTTGTTTTCCTATTTGTAATGGCAACACCATTCTACAATGTTATTATCCTATTTTAATGGCAACGCCATTCTATAATGTTATTTTCTGTATCTATTTGTAATGGCAACACCATTCTATAATGTTATTTTCTGTATCTATTTGTAATGGCAACACCATTCTATAATGTTATTTTCTGTATCTGTTTGTAATGGCAACACCATTCTATAATGTTATTTTCTGTATCTGTTTGTAATCCCAACACCACTCTACAATGTTATTTGACTATGTTGAACGAATCTATCCCATCGAACTAGAGATAAAGGATACGACAGATACAGTTAAGTCTGCCTCATATCTTGACTTACATCTAGAAATTGACAATGAGGGTCGGTTGAAAACAAAACTTTACGACAAAAGAGATGATTTCAGCTTCCCAATTGTGAACTTTCCATTTCTATGTAGCAACATTCCAGCAGCGCCTGCATACGGAGTATATATCTCCCAATTGATACGATATTCCCGGGCTTGTGTTTCCTATCATGATTTCCTTGATAGAGGATTGCTGCTCACAAGGAAGCTATTAAACCAAGAGTTCCAAATGGTGAAGTTGAAGTCGTCCCTTCGTAAATTTTACGGACGCCAACACGAGTTGGTTGACCGTTATGGAATAACGGTTTCACAGATGATATCGGATATGTTCCTTATGTCGCAGCTACAATACCCTCCCTTTTCACGAATGTGACTTACCGAATTAGACTATTTACCGGATTTGTAATAACATAAGCAACTCGACGGGTGCCACATGTGGAGCAGGATCTGCTTACCCTTCCGGAGCACCTGAGATCACCCACAGTTTTTGGTGGGGTTCGTGTTGCTTAGTCTTTAGTTTTCTATGTTGTGTCATCTGTACTATTATTTGTCTGTTTGTCTTTTTATTTTTGGCCATGACGTTGTCAGTTTGTTTTCGATCTATGAGTTTGACTGTCCCTCTGTTATCTTTCGTCCCTCTTTTAATGGCAACACCAATCAATAATGTTAATTTCTGTATCTATTTGTAATGACAACACCATTTTATAATGTCTTTTTCCTATTTGTATTGGCAACACCATTCTATAATGTTATTTTCTGTATCTGTTTGTAATTGCGACACCATTCTATAAAGTTATTTTCATGAAATGATGGTATTTTAAACATCAAAAATATTTAGTTAAAGTAATTAAAAGATTGAAAAAATAACCTATTGCAGACAAGTAACATCTGTTAAAATTGACACTAGTTTTAATATTGCCTTTTATTTGACTCGGAAGAAGCTTGGCGACAAATAATCTTCAACCTTTTTTGTGTCTTATTCAAGTAATCTATTACATTTTTTCTTTATCATACTATTTACTATAAAAATATCTAGATCTGAATGAGTAATACTTTCCTACAAACACAGGAAGTCTCTTCCTATATGAAGGTTTATACCGACTTGCAGGGTATGGGCCGCTGTAAACATCTTTTTTCTGCTGAGACTTTATTGACACAAGTTGAATACTAAAAATTCATTATTATTAGTGAGATACCATTACCATCCACGAAAACAAATATCCAAGAAAATACAATTTTCCCTCAATCCATGAAAATTGGTACCCACAAAAAATAAATTAATCCACAGTAATCTTTTGCATCTAATTAAGATGCCACACATTGTTTGTCATATAGCTCAGAAATGTATGATGGGTTATGATTTTTCTATGAAATATATGTTTGGATTTTAACCCTGCATTGAAAACCAATCGTTGGCCTTGGGCTGTTTTCTGCTCTTTGGTCTGGTTGTTGTCTCTTTGACACATTCCCAATTTCCATTCTCTATTCTATCAGAAAGGATTTTTCGCAAAATTTAAATACATAAGTGGGGGGATGTTTTTTTTGCCACAGCCGCACTTCAGTACCCATATTTGTATGATGAGACACCCCCTGGCCTACAAAAGGATACTGATGTATACAAAGCTCTGCTAAAATTACATCTTACAGCTTTATATTGATTACAGCATTAAATTTTCAATCTTCACTTATCATGTGGCAAAAATTAGAGATAATAATGTTGTTTTACCTACCTCAAACATTTTAACATAATATTCATTAGAGCTGTATTTTATGGCCATGTCAAGGCGGAAATTGTCTGGCATTTCTAAGGCATTCCACACTTTCTCTAATCTTTCCTGAGGACCAAGAGGACCTTCCTCTGTTGTCTAAATAAAATATATAACAAGAGGCTGTCAGATTGACAGCAAACTGGATTTTCCTGCATAAAAATGACATTTGCAAATCTGGACCCCCAAACAGGACCAAGTAAAATCTAAGCATCAATTTTCACTACTTAAAGGTCTACAACTCAACAGCAATAAAAGCTAAAATCGTGAAAACTTAACTTGACCATCATTTAGTCACAGGAAACAATGTAACTAAATTTGAAAAGATTTTGTCAAAGTGTTTTCAATTTATTGCACTGACAACACTCTAAGTATTACTTTACACTACTTAAATGTCTACAACTCAACAAAGATAAAAGCTAAAATAATGAAAATCAAACTAGACCTTCATTTAGTCATAGGAAACAACATATCTAAATTTGAAAGATTTCTTCAAAAGTGTTTTCAAGATATTGCAGACACTGTTTGGCAACCACCAGCCCAACCGCCCCCTGTACATCACCAAATTAATAACCGATATTTTCCATTGGAAATCTGGTTAGAAATTATTCAAAAACTTGTTAAAGCTGTAAATTTACATTTCATCTTGTCCTCATTCATTAATGTAAAAGAGGTATTAATTTTTTTTTAAAGCAATAATCTTGTAGTGTTACCCTTTTTTAATTACCAGTAATATTGTTGAACAGTACTAAATACAGCTTTTTCTTAAAATCTAATTTGACAATATCTTTAAGTTTAATACATATGTAAAATATGAAAGATGGACATCCCTCTCCTCTCCTGATCTATCTGTATCAATCTTACTGACAGTATGAGTCAGTGAAGTTACTCATCTCTTCTGATCTATCTGTTAACATCTAACTGACGGTACCAGTCAGTAAAGATACTCACCTCTCCTGATCTATCTGTTTCCATCTTACTGATGGTACCAGTTAGTGAAGTTACTCACCTCTGCTGATCTATCTGCATCCATTTTACTGATGGTACCAGTCAGTGAAGTTAATCACCTCTCCTGATCTATCTGTGTCCATCTTACTGATGGTACCAGTCAGTGAAGTTACTCACCTCTCCTGATCTATCTGTATATATCCATCTTACTGACGGTACTTGTAAGTAAAGTTACTCATCTTTCCTGATCTATCTGTGTCCTTACTGACAGTACCAGTCAGTGAAGTTACTCACCTCTCCTGATCTATCTGTATTAATCTTACTGACAGTACCAGTCAGTGAAGTTACTCACCTCTCCCAATCTATTTGTATCCATCTTACTGACAGTACGAGTTAGTGAAGTTACTCACCTCTCCTGATATATCTGTGTCCATCTTACTGATGGTAACTGTCAGTGAGGTTACTCACCTCTCCTGATCTATCTGTGTCCATCTTACTGACAGTACCAGTCAGTGAAGTTACTCACCTTTTCCTATCTATCTGTATCAATCTAACTAACAGTACCAGTCAGTGAAGTTACTCACCTCTCCTGATCTATCTGTGTCCATCTTACTGATGGTACCAGTCATTGAAGTAACTTTTGATGCTCTAGAATGTGATAAGTCCCTGAAATTTAAACAATACACAATTTTGAAGTGCAAAAAGTATCTGCAAAAATAAGTTGGTTTACAGTAGCTTAAAAAAAAATGTTAATGTAGAAAGTTTATGACATGGCTTATTTTACTTTGGTTTTATTTTAGCAAACTTAAAAAAAAGTTGTAAAGGGTTCCATGGAACCCTGTGTCTCACCTGTGATTCCTGCTGTCAGTGTAAACGTGTAAAGTTGACTGTAAAAAGTCTCAGTCTATTTAATTATCAGTAAAACACAGAATTTAAAAGAAAAAAAACTTATTCTTTAGATGCCAGGGTTTCCGCTGGCTGTCGCCCTTTTTGCATTTTGCAAAAAATATATAATTGTGGCTATTAAAAATCATGATTATCCAAAGAAATATAAGATTTTACTTTGTCCATCTTTTTAATTTTGTTTCAGGTTTCTCTGACTTTCTCCCTGATTAGACAATACTCGGATTTCACCTTGAACTCATATCGATTTTGTCAGATCAGCTGACTGCAATTGATAATAATCAGCAACAATCGACTAATAAATAAAGGTGTTAATTATATTGTTTAATGAAAATGTGTGGTAAATTGGAGTCACATGTCACCTAAAGGATTGTTTTTACAAATTTGATAGCAATAATTGTTTTGAAGTGGGTACTTCACAATAGTTTTAGCAGCACACCTTTTTTAACCATATTTTTTCGCCTCAATTTTTACTTTTAACGTTTTAACTATTGTTTTAAAGAAGATGTTGAAAAGTAACACAAATCTCTGTTTTAATTTTTCTTTGTCCTTTAAGTAAACATAAAGTATCCAATAAACTGACTGAAGATGAATCCTGTGTTTCCTGAAGTCAAATTTTACATTTATTTTAATAAAGTTCAAGAAATTTTGGTTCTGATTGAGTGTTTATTTATTACAATGTGTGATATAAAAAAGATATGCAGAATTATAATATTAATGAGACAACACTACTGCAACCTGAATTTTTTGTTTGTTAGCAAGAAGGAAAAAAGTTCACAATAAAAGTGACCCTACCCAAATTTGAACTTGATCTGAATTTTGTGGTAATAAGCATTGTCTGTAAGTCTCATAACATTTGGTTGAGGCTAACTTAAGTAGAGAACAGAAACTAAAAATTCAGCAATTTTTCTAATTGTAAACACGCATAACTCTAGAACAGTTGTGTATAAGTTTTATAACATTTGGTTGAGACAAACTAAAAAATTCAGAAATTTTTATGTTTATAAAGGGACATAACTCAAGAATGGTAAAAGTGTCGCCACCAAATTTCGTACTTAATCTGTATTATGTAGTAATAAGCATTGTGTATAAGTTTCATAACATTTGGTTGAGGCAAACTAAAGTTAGAAAACGGAAACAAAAAATTTGTACTTGATCTTAGTTTTGTGGTAATGAATATTGTGTATAGGTTTCATAATGTTTGGTTTGGGCAAACTTAAGTTACAGAATGGAAACTAAAAATTTTGCAATCTTTCAATTTATAAAGGGGCATAACTCAATAATGGTTAAAGTGACACTACCCAAATTCAACTTGATCTGTGTTTTATCAGTGGAAGTCAAAATTAAACATTGCATTGTATAAAGCATTGACTGTAGTTGATTCAACCATAATCATGGACAAAAGAAGATAACTCCAAAATAAAAATTACTTGATATCTAGAAGAAAATAAAAATTTTGTAATTTTTCCATTTATAAAGGGGCATAACTCTAGAACGGTTAAAGTGACTCAACCAAAATTCAAACTTGATCTCTGTTTTGTGGTAATAAGCATTGTGTATAAGTTTCATAATATTTGGTTGAGGCAAACTTAAGATTCAGAACGGAAACTAAAAATTTTGCAATTTTTCCATTTATAAAGGGGCATCACTCTAGAACGGTTAAAGTGACGCCACCAAAATTCAAACTTGATCTCTGTTTTGTGGTAATAAGCATTGTGTATAAGTTTCTTAACATTTGGTTGAGGAAAACTTAAGATTCAGAACGGAAACTAAAAATTTTCCAATTTTCCATTTATAAAGGAGCATAACTCTAGAACAGTTAAAGTGACGCCACCAAAATTCAAAATTGATCTGTGTTTTGTGGTAATAAGCATTATGTATAAGTTTCATAACATTTGGTTGAGGTAAACTCAAGTTACAGAACGGAAACTAAAAGTTTTGCAATTTTTCCATTTGTAAAGGGGCATAACTCTAGAACGGTTAAAGTGACGCCACCAAAATTCAAACTTGATCTGTGTTTTGTGGTAATAAGCATTGTGTATAAGTTTCATAACATTTGGTTGAGGCAAACTCAAGTTAGAGAACGGAAACCAATTTTGGGACGTACGTACGTACAGACAGACAAGGGTAAAACTTAATGCCCCCACCACTACGGGGGGGGCATAATAAAAAATACATTAATCTGAGTTGGCGAAAAAAATGAGAGCGGCAAAAAAAAAGTTGTTTTAGGGAAAGTGGTGGTGAAAAAAGAAATTGACCCAAGGGAAGCCCTGTTATATACTATTTCTTGATCTTGAAGATAAGCTTCTGTCCAATTTCATAACAATCCATGAAGGGTTTACAAATTTATCATGTCAAAATAAATGGAGAATGTGTCTATGGGCCACAGATGCCTCCACTTGTAAAAACGAATGAGTCAACTTCCACATACAGATGCAGGATTCACGTAATTAAGACTGTTCTGTGATAATAAGCATAAGTTTCATAACATTTGGTTGAGGCAAACTAAAGTTAGAGAATGGAAATGACAGATTTAGCAATTTTTATGTTTATAAAGGGGCATAACTCATGAACGGTAAAAGTGTCGCCACCCAATTTCGATCTTGATCTGTGTTTTGTGGTAATATGCATTGTGTATAATTTTTATAATATTTGGTTGAGGCAAACTAAAGTTAAAGAAAGGAGACCAATTTTGGGGACTTTCAACGGACAGACGGACGGACAGACAGACAGACAGACAGACAGCCGGACAAACGGGGCAGGGGCATAAAAATTTAATCCCAGACTGTCTTTAAATGTCAACTGTAAAAAACTAAGTTCATCTATCAGAAAGTTTGCATCAGACATTATCTCTTTATCATGACTGTCCCTCTGGTATCTTTCGTCCCTCTTTTATCATAAAAATGCTTCTGCCAGTTTCATAACATTCTATGAAGGACAACATAATTGATGTGTAACAAACTTTAATCCCAGACTGTTTCTATTAGTTAACTGTAAAAAACTAATAGAAATAAGAAGATGTGGTATGAGTGCTAATGAGACAACTCTCCATCCAAATCAAACAAGAGTGCACACACTGAAATGTCTCGCCTTCTTTACTAACCATTGATTTTATGTTGATAGTCCTAAATATAAAGCTTTAATACAAGTAACACATAAACTTAACATGATCCAAGAAAATGAGGTCAAGGTCAGATAAACCAAACGAGAAATACATTTACACCTTACAATCATTCAATAAACCAAACATAGTTGACCTATTGCTTATTGTTTCTAAGAAACAGTCTTAAACAAGAAAACTTAACATTGACCAATGAACCATGAAAATGAGGTCAAGGTCAGATGAACCATGCCAGACAGACATGTACACCTTACAATCAATTTAGGCATTAAATATAGTTGACCTATTGATTATAGTATCTAAGAAATAAACTTAACCATGAAAACTTAACATTGACCAATGAACCATGAAAATGAGGTCAAGGTCAGATGATACCTGCCAGACAGACATTTACACCTTACAATCCTTCCATACATCAAATATAGTTGATCTATTGCTTATAGTTGAAGAAAAGCAGACCAAAACACAAAAACTTAACACTGAGAAATGAACCGTGAAAATGAGGTCAAGGTCAAATAAAACCTGTGAGACTGACATGTACATCATAAAATATTTCCATACACCATTTATAGTTGACCTATTGCATATAGTATTAGAAAAACAGACCAAAACACAAAAACTTAACATTGACCAATGAACCATTAAAATTAGGTCAAGGTCAGATGAAATCTGCCAGTCTGACATGTACCGCTTACAATCATTCCATACACCACATACAGTTGACCTGCTGCCTGTAGTACACATGTATCTGAGAAACAGACCTTATCACGTTACTTTAACCTTGATCACTGATCCATGAATTGAGGTCGAGGTCAGGTTTACCCTGTCTGACGGACATGTAGACGTTGCAAGGAACCCATATACCAAATATAGTTATCCTATTACTCATAAATAAGTGAAAAATTCACGTGACAAAAAACTGTAATTTTTTCAAGCAGTCACTGAACCATGAAAATGAGGTCAAGGACAATGGGCATATGACAGACGGAAACTTCGTAACATAAGGTATCTGCATACAAGGTATGAAGCATCTAGGTCTTCCACCTTCTGAAATATAAAGCTTTATACAAATAGTTTACAACTCCGCTGCCGTCGCCACCTGATAGTAATACCTATGTCTTGCACGCTGCGACTTTCGTCACAGGCAAGACAAAAACTTAACATTGACCAATGAACCATGAAAATGAGGTCAGGACAGATGATAGACTAAACCGACATGTACATCTTACAATCATTTCATACACCAAATATAGCTGACCTATTGCTTTTAATACTTAAAAAACAGATCAAAACACAAAAGCTTAAAATTGACCAATGAACCATGAAAATGAGGTCAAGGTCAGATGATACTGGCTAGACCAACATATACACCTTAAAATCATTTCATACACCAAATATAGCTGACCTATTGCTTACAGTACTTGAAAAACAAACCAAAACAAAAAAATCTTAACATTGACCAATGAACCATGAAAATGAGGTCAAGGTCAGATGAAACCTGCCAGACTGACATGTACACCTTACAATCCTTCCATACAACAAATATCTTTGACCTACTGCTTATAGTATCTGAGAAATGGACCTTATCACGTAACTTTAACCTTGATCACTGATCCATGAAATGAGGTTGAGGTCAGCTGAACCCTGTTTGAGGGACGTGTAGGCATTGCAAGGAATCCATTTTCTAAATATATTTATTCTATTACTCATAATAAGTGAGAAATTCAAACTAGGATTTTTTTTAAGCAGTCACTGAGCCATGAAAATCAGGTCAAGGAAAATGGACATATGACAGACAGAAACTTGGTAACATAAGGTATCTGCATACAAAGTATGAAGCATCCAAGTCTTCAACCTTCTGCAATTACAAGCTTTATATAAATAGTTTACACCGCTGCGGCTGGATAGTAATCACCATGTCTTGCAGTTGCAATTGGCTTAACTCAAAAGATTGGTAAAAGGCACAAAAACAACTGACATATAAACAATACACAAAGCAAAGAGTGCTCGCAGTTACTGAAAGCAAGTTCAAAGCCAATTACAACTAACAAACAAATTATGTTCTCCCAGACTAAAGAATCAATCAGTCATGTTCCTCTGTTTGGGAATACTTTCAAAATATGGCAACAGAATTTGTTCAATACTTCTACAGTAAGTCAACTAGGGGAAGTCATGTAATGCTGCATTCTGCTTTATATTATAGCCTTTTATTCTTTTCATAATTTGGCTGATTTCCTGCCACTTTACTATAGTTTATCCAAAAAAAATTTTATATGACTTATCTTATATTGTATTTTAACAGTGTTTGGCACAATCTTTTCAACTGACAAATCTTACCTAGTTGGTTTCTCTACTTGTAATTTTGCAGAATGTCTGGCAGCAACCCTTTCTTGTAATGTTTTAGCTGACCTTGATGTTTGTGGGGATTTCTGGCCTTTGTCTGCTATATCTTCCTCTTCTACATTAATAAAATGATACTGTAAATTATTGCATGCATTTAAATGGTCATTATAATATTTGGCAATTCAAAACATCAAAATGGTTAAAAACAATTAAATTAAATATTTTTGTTAAAATGTCATACACCAAAAAATAAAGAAAATGTAAGTTTTTATTTTTTTTTTATCATTAACAAATAAAAATTCCAAAAGTTAAAAAAGTAAAACTGTACTGATATAAACCTAGTGGTCAATTTTGCATTCTAGATGCCTCGATTGTAATTTTGTGTTCTAGTTCAATTCAATTCTGGGTTCTAGATGCCTAAAGTTTAATTTTGCCTTCTAAATATCTACAGTTTAATTTTGCCTTCTAGATGCTTTAGAGTTTGATATTGACTTCTACATGGAATCCTACTTTTAGTTCAATTCTTTGTGCAAATTGAAAAGATAAATTTAAAATAAAATTTGGCATAAAATGTTCAGTTTGACATAAACTTGTATTCTAGTTGAAGTTTAAATTAAAATGTTTATTGATAGTTGAAGCCAAAGTTCCAGTTCATGTAATGGTTTTAAATGAAATCGACATGTGTTTAAGATTTATCTCCAGCTTCAAGTTAAAGTTCTATTCTCAAGTGAAACACCTTATTTCACAAAATTTGTTCTTAAATTTAACATAAAATGTTAACATAGAGATATGTCTCGCCTTTTTTGTAATTTTGATAATGCAAATGTTGAAATTAAAATAGCAATACTTTAACATGTAAGTTATGCAAATATTCAAGTCAATGAACCATGACTGAAGGTACATGGTTAAACAATCTCCATGGAAATGAGATGTAGATATAAGAAGATGTGGTATGAGTGCCAATGAGCCAACAATGTGCCAATGCTAATACAACTGCATACCAGATACCATTGACTTATCATACTTCATTCCCTTTAAACAAACCTAAATACAAACATTAACTTGTAAACTATGTAAAAGTTTCAAAGTCAATGAACCATGATAAGAGGTTGGGCTATATAATCTCCATGGAAACGAGACTTGCAAATGCCAATACATTTGCATACCAAATATCATTGACTTAACATCAGTGGTTCATCTTAAACTGATATAATACATGTAAACTTAGCGAAAGTTTCAAAGTCAATTGACCATGACTGAGGGGGCGAGGCAAAATATTCTCCATGGAAATGAGATGTGCTAATGCTTTTACAACTGCATACCAATTAACATAAGCCTACCACTAATGGTTTCCCTTAAACTGACCTAATCACAAACTAATACATGTAAACTAAGCCAAAGTTTCAAAGTCAATAGACCATGACTGAGGGGGCAGGGCCAAATAATCTTCATGGAAATGAGGTTTGCCAATGCTTATACAACTGCATACCAAATATTATTGACGAGGTGCAAAAATTTGTACACCATATCCGGATTTCGACAATCAATGTCTCTTCAGTGATGTTAGGGATCAAAAGGGTATTTGGAAGGCCATATAAATTACCTCAATTTAGGATAGACTCTTGAATTTTAAAGAGTTGAAATAGGATGAACGGATCATATAAACCTGAGGGAAAATATAATACAAGCCCAAACGATAAAATATAAACAAGTCTAAATTGAAAACAACGTTCAAACCTATGATTGCGTTGGATAAAAACCGCAATTTTTATACCTGTGCATGTAAAGCAATTTCGTGGTAGAGGGGTCTCAATACAGCACAAACAACAATTTCCAAAAGACCAAAAAAGGTGAAAAAGTATATTTTAACAAAACGCATTTGACTAACAGGTCGAACAGCTGATGTTCTTAAACCCTGCTGACTGCCATTGACGATTGCCAAATAAATTGATCACAAGATTTAACAAAATGGATCTTAATATTAATTTAATACCAAACAGAAAACAATAAACTTGCGGGAAAGATGGTATACAACAAACATGAGGGGCAAAAATTTGTACACCATATCCGGATTTCGACAATTAATGTCTCTTCAGTGATGTTAGGGATCGAAACGGTATTTAGAAGGCCATATAATTTCCCTCAATTTAGGAAAGACTCTTGAATTTTAAAGAGTCAAAATAGGATGAACGGATCATATAAACCCGAGGGAAAATATAATACAAGCCCAAACGATAAAATATAAACAAGTCTAAATTGAAAACAACGTTCAAACCTATGATTGCGTTGGATAAAAACCGCAATTTTTATACATGTGCATGTAAAACAATTTCGTGGTAGAGGGGTCTGAATACAGCACAAACAACAATTTCCAAAAGACCAAAAAAGGTGAAAAAGTATATTTTAACAAAACGCATTTGACTAACAGGTCGAACAGCTGATGTTCTTAAACCCTGCTGACTGCCATTGACGATTGCCAAATAAATTGATCACAAGATTTAACAAAATGGATCTTAATATTAATTTAATACCAAACAGAAAACAATAAACTTGCGGGAAAGATGGTATACAACAAACATGAGGTGCAAAAATTTGTACACCATATCCGGATTTTGACAATTAATGTCTCTTCAGTGATGTTAGGGATCGAAACGGTATTTGGAAGGCCATATAATTTACCTCAATTTAGGATAGACTCTTGAATTTTAAAGAGTCGAAATAGGATGAACGGATCATATTAACCCGAGGGAAAATATAAAACAAGCCCAAACGATAAAATATAAACAAGTCTAAATTGAAAACAACGTTCAAACCTATGATTGCTTTGGATAAAAACCACATTTTTTATACGTGTGCATGTAAAAAAGTTTCGTGGTAGAGGGGTCTAAATACAGCACACACAACAATTTCCAAAAGACCAAAAAGAGTGAAAAAGTATATTTTAACAAACCACATTTGACTAACAGGTCGAACAGCTGATGTTCTTAAACCCTGCTGACTGCCATTGACGATTGCCAAATAAATTGATCACAAGATTTAACAAAATGGATCTTAATATTAATTTAATACCAAACAGAAAACAATAAACTTGCGGGAAAGATGGTATACAACAAACATGAGGGGCAAAAATTTGTACACCATATCCGGATTTCGACAATTAATGTCTCTTCAGTGATGTTAGGGATCGAAACGGTATTTAGAAGGCCATATAATTTCCCTCAATTTAGGAAAGACTCTTGAATTTTAAAGAGTCAAAATAGGATGAACGGATCATATAAACCCGAGGGAAAATATAATACAAGCCCAAACGATAAAATATAAACAAGTCTAAATTGAAAACAACGTTCAAACCTATGATTGCGTTGGATAAAAACCGCAATTTTTATACATGTGCATGTAAAACAATTTCGTGGTAGAGGGGTCTGAATACAGCACAAACAACAATTTCCAAAAGACCAAAAAAGGTGAAAAAGTATATTTTAACAAAACGCATTTGACTAACAGGTCGAACAGCTGATGTTCTTAAACCCTGCTGACTGCCATTGACGATTGCCAAATAAATTGATCACAAGATTTAACAAAATGGATCTTAATATTAATTTAATACCAAACAGAAAACAATAAACTTGCGGGAAAGATGGTATACAACAAACATGAGGTGCAAAAATTTGTACACCATATCCGGATTTTGACAATTAATGTCTCTTCAGTGATGTTAGGGATCGAAACGGTATTTGGAAGGCCATATAATTTACCTCAATTTAGGATAGACTCTTGAATTTTAAAGAGTCGAAATAGGATGAACGGATCATATTAACCCGAGGGAAAATATAAAACAAGCCCAAACGATAAAATATAAACAAGTCTAAATTGAAAACAACGTTCAAACCTATGATTGCTTTGGATAAAAACCACATTTTTTATACGTGTGCATGTAAAAAAGTTTCGTGGTAGAGGGGTCTAAATACAGCACACACAACAATTTCCAAAAGACCAAAAAGAGTGAAAAAGTATATTTTAACAAACCACATTTGACTAACAGGTCGAACAGCTGATGTTCTTAAACCCTGCTGACTGCCATTGACGATTGCCAAATAAATTGATCACAAGATTTAACAAAATGGATCTTAATATTAATTTAATACCAAACAGAAAACAATAAACTTGCGGGAAAGATGGTATACAACAAACATGAGGTGCAAAATTTGTACACCATATCCAGATTTCGACAATTAATGTCTCTTCAGTGAAGTTAGGGATCGAATATATATATACAAGTCTAAACTGAAAACAACGTTCAAACCTATGATTGCGTTGGATAAAAACAGCAACTTTTATACGTTTGCATGCAAAACAAATTTCTTGTTAGAGGGGTCTAAATACAGCACAAACAACATTTTCCAAAAGACCAAAAAAGTGAAAAAGTATAATTTAACAAAACACATTTGACTAACAGGTCGAAAAACAAATGTTCTTAAACCCTGCTGATTGCCATTGGTGCTTGCCAAATAAACGGATGACTGATCTAATAAATGGATCTTCATTATAAATTTAATACTAAACAGAAAACAATAAACTTGCGGAAAAGATGATATACCGCAAACAAAAGGTGCAAAGGTTTTAGTACACCATATCCAGATTTCGACAATTAATGTCTCTTCAGTGATGTTAGGAATCGAAACTGTATTTGGAAAGCCATACAATTTACCTCAATTTAGGATAGACTCTTGAATTTTGAGGAGTCAAAATAGGATGAACGGATCATATATATATGTACAAGTCTAAATTGAAAACAACATTCAAACCTATGATTGCGTTGGAAAAAACTGCAATTTTTATACATGTGCATGCAAAACAAATTTCTTGGTAGAGGGGTCTAAATACAGCACAAACAACATTTTCCAATAGACCAAAAAAGTGAAAAAGTATAGTTTTACAAAGCGCATTTGACAAACAGGTCGAACAACAAATGTTCTTAAGCCCTGCTGACTGCCATTGGCGATTGCCAAATAAACAGATCACCAATGTAATAAATGGATCTTAATTATAAATTTAATACTAAACAGAAAACAATAAACTTGCGAAAAAGATGGTATACCGCAAACAAAAGGTGCAAAGGTTTTTGTACACCATATCTGGATTTCGACAATTAATGTCTCTTCAGTGATGTTAGGAATCAAAACAGTATTTGGAATCCATACAATTTACCTCAATTTAGGATAGACTCTTGAATTTTGAGGAGTAAAAATAGGATGAACGGATCATATATATATGTACAAGTCTAAATTGAAAACAACATTCAAACCTTTGATTGCGTTGGAAAAAAAACGCAATTTTTATACGTGTGCATGCAAAACAAATTTCTTGTTAGAGGGGTCTAAATACAGCACAAACAACATTTTCCAAAAGACCAAAAAAGTGAAAAAGTATATTTTAACAAAACGCATTTGACGAGCAGGTCGAACAATGGATGTTCTTAAATCCTGTTGACTACCATGGCGATTGCCAAATAAACGGATCACCGATGTAACAAAATGGATATTAAGTATTAATTTAATACCAAACAGAACACAAAAAACTTGCAGAAAAGATGGTATATCGCAAACATGAAGTGCAAAAATTTGTACACCATATCCAGATTTTGACAATTAATGTCTCTTCAGTGATGTTAGGAATCGAAACGGTATTTGGAAGGCCATATAATTTACCTCAATTTAGGATTTTCTCTTGAATTTTGAAGAGTCAAAATAGGATGAACGGTATATATACTGTTAAAAATATGTTTCTGTACAAACAAATGTTGATATTCATAACTTATAACACATTAGTCAGACATGTTAGGAAAAATTTCCTAGGAATTTGTACATACTTATTTTCAAATTAGTTTCTTGTAAAAAATGATAAAGTTAGTTATGGGATATGTTACTAGGGCTTATTGGATTCTGTTTATTGGCATTATAAATACCATAAAAAAAGAGAGATGGTGGCACAAATCATATATTTGTAAAACAGCAAATGCCACAAATTCAGTCCAGGCCCATTAACACTGAATTCCCTAAGGACAATCGCTCACCTATAATTTTTTGTTTAAATCTTTCATCAATGATTATTTTTGCTTTTCAATATATATTAATGAGTGGCTTAAAAATGTCATTTAAATGTTCTTTGTATCTGTCATATTTTCTTCAAAAGCAAAAAAATGCATTTTACCCCTATGTTCCATTTTAGCCATAGTGGCTATGTTTCTTGACGTACAAGGAAAAAAAATACAAAATTTATACTAGATACTCTGAAACTCATTCATCCAAAGTTTGGCTGAAATTGTTCAGCAGTTTTTTAAAGTAAGCAAACTAGATGAACAAATTGAGAAAAAATTGTCTTTAAAGGGCAATAACTCCCTAAGGGGTCAATTGACAATTTTGGTCTTATGAAAACTTATTTGTAGATCTTACTTTGCTGAACATTTTTGCTGTTTACAGTTTATCCCTATCTATAATAATATTCAAGATAATAACCGAAAACTGCAAAAATTTCCTTAAATCATCAATTCAGGGGCAATAACCTAAAAATCAGATACCCAATTTGGCTGATAATTTCAGGGCAGGTATACCTTGACCTAATAAATACTTTAACTTCTTGTCTGATTTGCTCTAAATGCTTTAGTTTTTGAGATACAAGTCAAAAACTGCATTTTACCCTATGTACTATTTTAAGCCATGGCGGCCATGTTTTCTGAGGAAACAAAAAATAAAACATAAAGTTTATTCTGGATAACCTAAGAATCATTCAGCTTAAGTTTGGTTTAAATTTGGTTCAGTAGTTTCAGCGGAGAAGATTTTTTAAAGTTCGAAAACATGATAAACAAATTGTGTAAAATTGTCCTTAAAGGGCAATAACTCCTTAAGGGGTCAATTGACAATTTTGGTCATACCAAACTTATTTGTAGATCTTACTTTGCTGAATATTTTTGTTGTTTACAGTTCATCTTTATCTATAATAATTTTCAAGATAACCAAAAACTGCAAAATTTCCTTAAAATTACCAATTTAGTGGCAGCAACCCAACAATGGGTTGTTAGATTCATCTGAAAATTTCAGGGCTGATAGAACTTGACCTAATGAACATTTTTACCAACTGTCAAACTGCTTTAGTTTTTGAGATATAAGCCAAAAACTGCATTTTACCCCTATGTTCTATTTTTAGCCATGGCAGCTGGTTTTTTTTGAAGAAACAGAAAATAAAACACAAAGTTTATTCTAGATACCCTAAGGATCATTCAGCTCAAGTTTGGTTGGAATTGGTTCAGTAGTTTCAGAGGAGAAGATGTTTGAAATAGTTTACACAGGACGGACAAGGACGACGACGACTAAAACATTAAACTAAAGACAACAAATAACAAGATTTTTCACTTTGAACAGGCAGAGGAACAAATGGAATGGGTTCAATCAATTTTCCAAAAAGAAACAAAAACCTGAAACCAAAGGAAACAAACAAATTCCTAACCTGCCCTACCATTTTCACAGATATGGCTGAGTGCATGTTTTAATGGCTATAAATTAAACAAAAAGTTAAAATATTTTGGGGAGAATGAATCAAAATAAGAATTCATATAAGAGCAGGAGCTAGGAGTGAATACCTTCCATTTGAGGATCTTTTCCTAAACCTCCCATAAATACTGTATTTACATTCCACATTCCTTCTTCATACTTTGTCTTCTCTTTCTTTAATTCTTGCATTTTTTTTTGTCTCTCACTAAAATGAATATATTTTTATTATTATGAAAATTTCTGATTTATGTACAGAATTGATAGAAAATTTCTAATGACAAGGACCATATTTGAATACATATGTTCTATTATGTCTGTTTGTTTTGCTCACACATTGTTGTCAATATAATGGAATTTAATGTGACTGCCATACCAGTGAGAGGTTTAGCTAGCAATAAAACCAGGTTTAATCCACCATGTTCAACATAAGGAAATACCTGTACCAAGTCAGGAATATGACTGTTGTTTTCAATTCATTTAATATGACTGAGCTTTTGATTTTGCCATTTGATAAGGGAAGTTCTATTTTAAATTTTCCTATGAGTTGGTATTTTTGTTATTTTACTTTTTTCAATGATCGATGTAAAAATTAAAACCTGAGACTGCAATTCAAATTGTTTTTCTCAAAATTACTCACCTAAATAAACATTCATTTCACAACTGCATTTAACCTAAGTAAAACTACTATTACATGTAATAGTAAGTTGTTTTGCTCAAAACCTTCAAAATTGGGGACCTGATACAATGATATCTCAAGAGGGGCAGTAGGAGGTGGTGTCATCCCGAATTTAAAAAAAAAGCATTCTCAGGGACCCCAAAAAATCAATCATTAATAACTGAGTCGCTATAAGGGTAAATCCCAAATTCCTGCGAAAAATAAAGGGCCAAATCGTGAATTCCAGCAAAAATTAAGGCCTAATCCCGATGTCCTGCAAAACGTCCTTCCACCCCTCTATCAATTAACTAGAAAATTAACACTTACATAAATATTAAACATATATATATCGATAGACTTATATTGCTGAATTTTATGTACATACGACTGTAAATGTAGTGTGGACTTTCCTAAGCTCTGATAACATGTGTATTGAAAACCACAAACAAGTATAAAAATTTGAACAAACCAACTTAAATGCTCCCTGAACTGCACATAGATGGATTATAGTCACTGACATACCCAATATTAATGCAAGATAAAAGTCATAGTAATAAAATAAAATATTGACACAGAGATATGTCTCACCTTAAAGTAAATTCGATAGTATAATGCAAATGTTGAAATTAAAATGGCAATACTTTAACATGCAAACAATGCAAAAACATTCAAAGTTGATGAACCATGTCTAATGGTGCAGGGCCAAACAACCTCCATGGAATTGAGAAATGCTAATGCTTATAAAACTGCATACCAAATACCATTGACTTCAGTTGTTCCCTTTAAACTTACCTAATCACAAACTTTTTCATTTAAACTATGCAAAAGTTTCAGTCAATAAACCATGATGAGGGGGCAGGCCATATAATCTCAATGGAAATGAGACTTGCAAATGCTGATAAAACCTCATACCAATTATCATCGACTTAACAGTGGTTCATCTTAAACTGACCTAATCACAATATTTAACATGTAAACTATGCAAGACATTCAAGGTCAATAGACCTTGACTGAGGGGGTGGGGCCAAATGATCTCCATGGAAATGAGATGTGCTAATGCTTAAACATCTTCATACCAAATATCATTGACATACCACTAATGGTTCCCCTTCAACTGACCTTATCACAAACTAATACCTATATCTTCCAGGTTTTAGGAATTAAGTTTCATATTTTTGAAATTAATGGAGAATGTCCATGGGACACAGATGATGTCTCAGCTTGCATATAATGTTATAAAGGGACATAACTCCAGAACGGTAAAAGTGATGCAACCCAAATTCCAATTTGATCTGCATTTTGCGGTAATAAGCATAGTGTATAAGTTTCACAACATTTGGCTGAGGCGAACTAAAGTTAGAGAACAGAAACTAATTTTGGGACGTACAGATGGACGTACGTACAAGGTTAACACTTAATGCCCCCTCCACTGTGGCAGTGGGAATAAAAATGGAAACTTGAGTTATCAACACAAACTTTCCATAAAACTAAATGAAGAATGTGCCTATGGGACACAGATGCCCCCACTTGTATATACACAGCAAATTCTGCATTGTGTATAAGTTTCATAACATTTGGTTGACGCAAAATAAAGCGAGATTATAGAAACTGCAAATTCTGCAATTTTTCCATTTAGAAAGGGACATAACTTGAGAACAATGAAAGTGACACCACCCAAATTCAAACTTGATCTGTGTTTAGTAATGATAAGCATTGTGTATCAGTTTCATAACATTTGGTTACGGCAAACTAAAGTTAAAGAACGTAATCTAGTTTTGTGATGTACAGACGACAGACAGACAACGGTTAACAATATAATGCCCACTCCGCCGCAGCAGGGGCACAATAAAAACATGTTTTATGTAACAGCGACCATGAACCTATTTCCGAATACAAAGGCTTCCCTGTCGCTATATTTTCCATCTAAATTAAAGAACCTTAGTGAGCGCGCTCACATACCCCACGTCCCCACATTGTCATTGGAGAAATAAAATATGTGTAAGAAAAAAAAATTGAATCATAATTTCCTGTCAATATGCACATCTACATAGTATGTCCTTATTATCTACAAAGTTTCATGAAATTCTGTTGTGTGGTTTCAGAGGAGTTGCGATGACAAACTGTTGCAGTAGTACATTGAAGCAAATAAGTTCAAAGGGGCGTAACTCCTAGAAAAAAAATTGAACCGTAATTTCCTGTCGATATGCACATCTACATAGTATGTCCTTATTATCTAAAAAGGTTTCGTGAAATTCTGTTGTGTGGTATCAGAGGAGTTGCGATGACAAACTGTTGCAGTAGTACATTGAAGCAAATAAGTTCAAAGGGGCGTAACTCCTAGAAAAAAAATTGAACCGTAATTTCCTGTCGATATGCACATCTACATAGTATGTCCTTATTATCTAAAAAGGTTTCGTGAAATTCTGTTGTGTGGTATCAGAGGAGTTGCGATGACAAACTGTTGCAGTAGTACATTGAAGCAAATAAGTTCAAAGGGGCGTAACTCCTAGAAAAAAAATTGAACCGTAATTTCCTGTCGATATGCACATCTACATAGTATGTCCTTATTATCTAAAAAGGTTTCGTGAAATTCTGTTGTGTGGTATCAGAGGAGTTGCGATGACAAACTGTTGCAGTAGTACATTGAAGCAAATAAGTTCAAAGGGGCGTAACTCCTAGAAAAAAAATTGAACCGTAATTTCCTGTCGATATGCACATCTACATAGTATGTCCTTATTATCTAAAAAGGTTTCGTGAAATTCTGTTGTGTGGTTTGAGAGGAGTTATGATGACAAGAAACAGGACTGACGGACTGACGGACTGACGGACGGACAGACGGACGGGTCAAAAACATTATACCCTCCGCAACTCGTTGCGTGGGGTATAATAAGTTCCATTCATATTCATCAAGGGATACTAGATTTAATATCCACAAACAATTTTTTTCTTGGGCACCTGGGTTGAATCAAGGACAGATAGAGAGACACTAAGCGACAATTATTATATGCTCCTGAATATTTTTTTCTGAGAACAAAAAAGGGAAATTGAATTGAATGAGAAATAAAAGTTGCATACAGGACATAAGAAAATCGATATCAAATATGATAGTTGTTTGCTTTACACTTGACTTGTTGATTAATTTTGAGTGTTTACTCAATGATTCATTGTGAATGTGTACTCTCAAACTGATTCATTTTGTAAATGTACTCAGATTCATTTTAATTTGTTTAAATAACTATAGATTCTCTGACTCATTTCATGATGCAAGTCAAGAAAATTGAGAAAAAACTGAGAGGGCAATACCAGTGCATACACAGAAATGTCTGGCCTACTTTACTGATCGTGATTGAGTTTATATTGAAGGTCTTAGAGAAAACAACAAGTATTACATAAAATTAACATTATCAAGGATCCATATAAATTAGGTAAAGGTAAAATGAACCCTGTCACAAGGACATGTTCACCTTACAATCATCTCATACCAGGGCTTCCAAAACGGTTGTATTGTCCAGACTTGTCCAATAAATTATATTTATGACTTTTTGTGGCACCCATACACTATATAGTTAACCTTTTGCTTATAGTATCTGAGAAACAGACCTAACCAAGAAATTTAAACTTTGACAAAAGAACCATGAAAATAAGGTCAAGGTCTGATGAACTCTGCCAGACAAATATGTGCACCATACACTCATATAGTTGACCTTTTGCTTATAGTACCTGAGAAACATACCTTACCATGAAAACTTATAAAGCTGACCAATGAACCATGAAACTGAGGTTAAGGTCAGATGCACTCTGCCAAATAGACATGTACACCATACAATCATTCCATACACCAAATATAGTTGACCTTTTGCTTATAGTACATGAGAAACAGACCTTACCACGAAATCTTAACATTGTCTAATGAACCATGAAACTGAGGTTAAGGTCAGATGAACTCTGCCAGACAGACATGTATACCTTGCAATTAGTCCATACACCAAATATAGTTAACCTATTAATTATGGTACTAGAGAAACAGACCTAACCATGGAAACTTAACACTGACCAATGACCCATGAAACTGAGGTTAAGGTCAGATGAACTCTGTCAGACCTTGCAATCATTCCATACACCAAATAAAGTTGATTAATTGCTTATAGTATCTTAACTATGGACTCAACCACTTAAACTTAACCTTCATCACTGATCAATGAAATGAGGTTGATCATGTGAACCCTGTTTAATGGACATATAGACCTTGCAAAGATCCCATATACTTAATATAGTTATTCTACAACTCATAATAAGAGAGAAATTCACATGAAGAAAAAAATATTGTTTTTTAAAGCAGTCACTGAACCATGAAAATATGACGGACAAAAACTTCATAACACAACGCATCTGTATACAAGGTATGAAGAATCAAGGTCTTATACCCTATGAAATATAAAGCTTTATACAAATATTTTCAACTGCTCCTGCCAGAAAGTAATCCCTAAGTCTTGCATTCTGCAACTATCTTTGCAGCTGAGATAATAAAAAAACATTAGATAATAGAGACAACACCATTGTGAAAAAATGTAAAAACAAAAAGAAAATATAATGATATCCCCTAAAATCTGGAAACTTTTCTCCAATAATAAAAACAATAGTCATGTGACATTATGAAATTAATAATCAATCGACAATAATAACACGTTTACCATGAAATTTTTCTAACCTGTAATGAAAATAAATTGATAATGATTTTGAAGTTTTTCTTATTCCACAAAGTCCAATAATAAACCAGAGGATGGCTCACTTTGAGATTTAACTAACAGCAGATTTCCTATAAGATCCTTTCTTATCATATTGCTTGGTGTTTCATTTGCTTTTGATTCTTGCATTTACCCATTGTTAATTTCTGAGCCGTAGCTGGGTCCATTTGAAGAGCATGCCAGTAAAGGGGGGAGGGGTTAGAGGGTGGCTTGGCCCCATGATTTTTTTTTACTAGACGCAAAATGGTGCGATCTGAGGGCCTAAAATTGAAAAGCAAATTAGTAAAACTGTATTTGCACTTTTTTATTCAGAAACATCAGCAATTTTCCAAAATCTGCTCTCCGTTTTCTAGTCCTAACAAAAACGTCCATGGCCTTGTCTAAATTGACCTCAAAATCACGGTGGATGTGCATTAAACCTAACGACGACAATCTGTCATTTCTCATTTTGGAATGGATGTACGTTTTCAAACATTTCAGTACGCTAAACGACCTTTTGGCGCCAGTAGCACTAGCAACGGGCATTGTTAAGAGAACATACAGTATTATATCAATAGACAGATACAATGTGGGATTAACGATATCAAGCGTTTGACACAGTGTTGTATCAATAGACGTATACAATGTGGGATTAAAGATATCAAGCGTTTGACACAGTGTTGTATCAATAGACGGATACACTGTGGGATTAACGATATCAAGCATTTGACACAGTGTTGAATCAATAGACGGATACAATGTGGGATTAATGATATCAAGCGTTTGACACAGTATTGTATCAATAGACGGATACAATGTGGGATTAACGATATCAAGCGTTTGACACAGTGTTGTATCAATAGACGGTTACAATGCGGGATTAACGATATCAAGCGTTTGACCCAGTGTTGTATCAATAGACTGATACAATGTGGGATTAACGATATCAAGCATTTGACACAGTGTTGTATCAATAGACGGATACAATGCGGGATTAACGATATCAAGCGTTTGACACAGTGTTGTCTGCACTTTATCACTAGGAAGAAAATTCTCGCAATAGTTATAGATTATATAATATCGTTTTCTAATTTGCAAGGTTTAAATTTTATATTTTTTACTAGCTTGTATTTTTTTTTAATTTTCTGGCATCAATTATTTTTTTAAACTTTGCGATGTGCATGCCATGGCGTGACAGCGTATATGGAGCTACGCCACAGAATTTCCCATTGGATAATCATAATTTGCTCTTTGTTTGTGAGTGTGACCACACAACATATTGTTAAAGATAATGTTGTTTGCCTACCTATTTTTACGAATTTTTTTTCTGTGCTCTTGTATTTTATGACAAATTAGTTTAAGACAACTAAATATGTTACTATTGAAATTGACAATCTGCATTTCAGGTCTTATTTAGAACTGTCACTGCTGATTCAAATCAAAGAAAACAATGCTTTGTATTTTGTCAATCAAATGTCAAACCAGAAGTCATTATTTACAAAGCCATCCTTCTACTATACATCATCAAACTAAAACAAATATCTTAATAAATAAAAAAAAAAGATAAAAAAAATTCCTAATTCCTTTAAAAAATTCTGAGCCATTACTGTTTTCCAGTGACATGTTTATTAACCTGTCAGAAATGCAAATTTCACCTTTCAAATGATTTAACAAGCTAACATGATTTCATCATAAATTCCTAATCAATAAACCACCATAGATACATACTTTAAACCTACTGTTGAAAATAAAACACAATAAAACAACCATTAGTGTTTCATTGACAGTGAAAATAAGAATATCGATGAAATCCAATTCAATTGGGTCACATCAAATTTGAGTAAACATGCTGTTAAGACTGAAATGAACACAAAATTTGTTGAAACACATGCAAATTGAAACAGCATGCAACAATAAACAAAAAAAAGTCAAAATAATCAGTTAAAATGTGATTAAATCAATAACACCTTAATTTACCTTATTTTATGATACTTCATCATAATGTAAAAAAAATTTGTAAGTTATTTACTAATAATAACTACAAATTCCATTAAGCTCTACATAGAAATGGTGAGCAGGATTTAAGTATCAGTCACATTTCTTTCCATTTTGTACTTTAAAATGACAATTTTACATGAATAGAATACTTTTTCTTTCCCTTAAAGTTACAATTTTTTTCACCTTCCTGTATCTTTTTTATATTTGAATCTGTAAGACCTGAATCTGCCCTTAAATATCTATGAAACCATACAGAAACATCAAACAATTCTTTGAATTGAGACATGATCAATTCATTGGTACAATGTACAGGACCTATAGATGTATGAATAAAATATGCAAAAATACTGAGGAAATCTTATCAATAGGAGACAAAATAAGTAATGAAAAATGATGTAACTTTGGTAATAAACTAACTAAGAGAACATTTTATTATTGAAACTTACTAAATACTGGAAAGTATGGAGTCTGTTACACTGTTAAAAAGTTTTTTTTCTAAATTTATAAAAAGTTAGGATATGAATCTAATACATTTAGACACATTCTAAAATCTTAATTGGATGTTCATTACACATAGAAAAATTACCCATATAAACTTATTTTCTTGAAAGTGTTTGATTCTTTCACATTTTACAGGAGCTTCAATATTTTAAAATCTGAATGCTGTTTAAACCAGTTATAAAACTGCTTACACAGAATTTAAATAGACAAAGGTATTAAGGTCTTCTTTTTCTTGATTAGACATATTGTTATAGCAAGAGTTCTGTAGCTATAATAATCTCAACAGAGCTTTCACCTTGCTAGAAAATATGAATAAGGTAATTTGGTTTTAACTATAAGAAACATACTTGAGGAGGAATGGTTAAACTGCTGTGATAATTCTGTATATAAAAGAAAGCTGTATATAAGAATGGGATCTATGGAAGCTTTGTGTTAATCCTACGGGTTACTCAAGTCAGCGGTATATTCTTTTGTCCCTAGTTGGCCAGACTAGGATGGAGCATAGCAGCTAGTGTAAACATCAAATAGCAAGGGAGACTACTACTTACGCTTCTAATCGTTGTCGTCTCCTGGAATATTAGTCAATAAAAATCATCCTACGGTACTCAATAATAATACAGTATATAAACACAAAATTTTTTAAACTCTATGATTATAAAATTTCTGTTAAATCTTGGGTAGTAACCTAATGGAACTATACATATATCTAGTTGATTCATAAATTCTGAAAGATGGGTAAATGTAAATCATAACTCTGCAGATATTACAAAAAGAAACAAAAAATGAATCTAAACGAAGTGTGAAAAGTCTAGTAAATATTTATTAACTGTTTTATCTTTTTGTATTACTGATCATTACCAGGACAAAATAATATTATTTCTCAAAGCTTTGAAACAATCATAGAAAAATAAGTTACTGTGGTTTTGGCTATAAATACATTTTCAAATAAAGTTATTCTTATCTTCATCTATTGCAGTCTTTTGTGATAAACTTTCTATTTCTGGACATGTACAGTACTAAATTTCACAAGAATAGAAGTATGTTAACATAAAACAAAAAAATATCTAATTCTGTTGCACTGAATTAATCATGTACAAATGGAAGTAATTCAACATACATCATTGGTCTCAGAACAGGTAAAAAAATAAACACAGTAACTGTGAAGCAAAAATCAATCCCAAACAAAAAAAGCATGTTTTTTTTTTTAAATAACTGTAATCCATGACTTGTTGTAGGGAAATAGTGTTAGTTAATGAAAGCATATAATGTAAATTCAATAAAATGCTTCGCCGAGCACAGCCTGATACGACCGCAGAGGAAGATCCCTGAACAGTTGGGGCAAGTTTGGACACAGTATTCAAGCTCGATACTGTCTGAATTTGGATTGTGATCAAATTTTTGACATACTATAGGTTTCTGACACAAAATAAATGAGTTCAAAGATCTTAAAAATTTTGAAATGGGACATTTAATTTACCTAGTATGGTCTGATATCCAAAATCTAACAACATGGTTAGATTCAGCATATAAAAAAACACCAAAAATTTAATTTTAGTTGAAATCAAACAAAGTTTAATTTTGGACCCTTCAAACCTTAATATAGACTAATTTGAAAACAGGGCCCAAAATAAAAAAATCTAAATACACAATAAGATTCAGCATATCATAGAGCCGCAATACTTCAGTTTTTGATGAAATCAAACAAAGTTTAATTTTGGACCCTTTGGACCTCAATGTAGACAATCTAAAAATGGGGCCCAATATCCAAAATAGTAATACAAGGTAGAACCCCCAAAAATTAAAGACTTAATTTAACCCCATTGAAATTGGGTAAAAGATTTGTATTTATTTTCAAATGAAGATTTCTTGCTATTGCGCAATACTGTGCTATTGTGCAATACTGTGCTGTTTCACAATACAACATCTTGAAGAAAAAAAGGATGAATCCCCCCCCCCCAAAAAAAAATTGAAAAAAAAATCTCGCCCCCAAAATGAAGAAAAAAATATGAACCCCCCCAAAAAAAGAATTTGAAACCCCCCCCCAAATTTTTTTGAAATTTTGAAGATTATTTTCTTTTCAGGAAAAATGTACAATTTCAGAGAGTTCCATAAACTTTAACACAAGTTATTGTCTGGAAACTAGAAAAATGCTTGTTTTTGGCCCCTTTTTTGCCCCTAATTTCTAAATGTTTAAGGCAATTACCCCCAAACTCAATCCCAGCATTCCCTTTGTGGTATAGAACCTTGTAGTACAATTTCAGAGAGATCCATACACTAAAACACAAGTTATTGTCTGGAAACTAGAAAAATGCATGTTTTTGGCCCCTTTTTTGCCCCTAATTCCTAAACTGTTGAAACCATAACCCCCAAAATCAATCCCAACCTTCCTTTTGTGGTATTGAACCTTCTGTTAAAATTTCATAGAGATCCATTCACTTAAACTAAAGTTATTGTCCGGAAACCAAATGTGTTTTTGGATGACAACGACGACACCGCCGCCGACAACATGATCGCATTATACGAACACAAATTTTTTGCTGTCATATAAAAATTATTCCAAGGTTTTTAATACTGCGAATAATGCAACCGGGTGAGTCTCACAATAATAAAAAGTCACATTCCGATATCTGATACATGTATCTGTATGCAGATTTACCTGAAATCGCAATAATAAATGCACGCAATTTCTGCATTCACAGTATCTCATAATTTTACACAGACCATGTAATAATTTCATTTTTCAGTTTATTTGATTAAAAAATAATATCATGACTGAAGTGTGAAACAGAATGTCTATATTTGTAGATAGCCTTATTAACTGTGCATAGTTATTGAAAGATACAACCATAAAGATCTCTGTTCTGAAAAATATTTTCAACCAAAAAAAGGGTTCAAATAGATTGTATTGCTCACAGAGCTATCTATGCCCTATGTCAAAAATAGCCATTTTCCAATCAAGCAAAGCATATATATTAAGCAAACTTAGTAACTACTGGTTTTTGACAAATGTTTTGTGACAGTTCTGAAATTTTGAAGAGGTACTTTTTGGTATTATGATCATATCTGGTGGCCATGTTTTTCATTTGACTTCATGATCCAATTTGGTTCCATATATATAATTTAAGATAGCCAAAATGCAAATTTTCATCCTAAATGTGGCAACATTCCTGCAAAAAACGATGAAACTTTTAAAGGGTCATAATTCCAGTAAAGTTTTTAAAATTTGGTTTTGTTGTTTTATAAGAGAAAGAAAAATAAAACTTGACCAAGTAGAAATGTAAACTGCTCTGGTTGCCCACTTTTTTAGCTCCTATGAAGTAAATTAAGGAATTTTAATATAGAACATTCCATACATTCAAGTGCTGTCAAGTTTGGTACGATTCTCTAAGGAGATGATATGAATATGAAAAGTTTATAGACATAGGATAGATGCTTCAGCTCACACTGACCCTTTGGCAATATTAGATAAATTAAAATAATGGAACATAATCAAATGTCTAGCTTACATATTTCTCAAAAGTATGTACTGATTACTGAATAGTTCAACCATTTATGTTTTTGTCAGTATTTAGCCAAAAACTTTAGTTGAAGTCACTTACAAAATTTGATTTATATAAGAAATAGTTGAAGACAATGAAATCAATAATTCTATTTAATATACAACCTAAATCAAAACAGATGTCATTTAAACTGTAAATTTATGAGATTACTCAATTTGCTTATTTGCTTTGTATCACTTGGGTCAACCTATCCGAAAAACTGCGTCATAATTATGTTGCACTACTGATCAAAACACATGCCACACTTCTAAAAAATCCCTATTCAAACAAATATATACTTTTTTGGTCTATAAAGATAAAATATTTGTAGAAAGAAGTAACAGGAATATTGGAGAAGAGTTCAGACTGTTATACCTATTTTCTGCCTGTTTAGCAGAGTGAGCTGTTCTTGCAATGAATTGTTTTTGTTGCTGAGTAAGAGCCTGGGACTGACCAAGCGCAGACATGTACTGGTTGGGTAATGGTAAATCTTCTTCTTCCCCTTCCTCCTCATCAGAATCATAGAAATGGAAAGCTACACCCATATAGTCTGACTCCTGTAATAAATATAATCATCAAATCTTCTAACAACTGTGTCACTTAGTAATGGACAAGACTGCAATTACTGGTATAATGGTTCTATGTGTCACTCCTTTTCATACTACTATATCAGCTTGTAGGGGGAAAAGTAATCATCAAATCAGTGATGAAACAGATATAATTTCAATTATCTGTTATCAGTTCTAAATGCCAGATCATTTTCTATTTCAGAAGACAATAGTTAATTCATACGGTAATTTCCCAAAAAAAATCTTTCCCCTTTCAATGATTGGATTGTTTTTTTTTTTACATTTCACTGGCCTGAAATTACATTTTCCCAATTTATTGTACCTGTGCAATTACTAAAAAAATATGTATGTAAAAAAAGCTACTTTTAACTGAAAGTTTGTAAGTTATCTATCATAAAAAGCTCTTATAATATTGGGAACAATTAATATCATGTGAGCAAAGTTATAATGAAAGCAACATTTCAAAAGTTGATATATACAATATACAAAAAATACATCAGAAATATCTTGATTAGGTCAAGCAAAATATTTTATAACTTTAAATGGCTGAAACCTTTTTTCAAGTCAAAGGTCCATGGCAAGAATTAAGAGAAAATAATTGAGAGTATATTGGATTAAAGAGAATTTAATAAAGAGTTTTATTAGCATCATTACATCTGCCTCATTCATTTGAATTATTAATAATCTTACTGTGTGTATCCAGCAGAGATTTTCAAGCTGTTCAAAACTATGAAACATAAAAATATAATCCCAGATATATGGTAAAAGAAGAGAGATAGAAAGCATAAAGGTATTATCTTCCCTTGATCTTATCTGAAATGTTATTTCACATTAAAGAACAAATATGACCATCAGCATTTAAACTTTATTTCAATGAAGTCTGTCTTTACTTTAATTTTACAAACTATTGCATGCATTTATCAGATTTTTTTATCATCAGACAAAAATGCAGGATTAATTAATGAGATTTAAAGAAAATATTGCTATGAGAATTTAAAATGAAAATCTTTTAAATGAGTCACCGTTCCTGCTGCATGTTAAGCTGTAACAAAACCATTGAAAAACTTCCGGAACGGAATTAAACAACTATCTACCAGTAATGCTGATTTGTTTGAGTCAGTGAGTAAATAATGTCAACTAATTTTCCATATGTTCAGCTAGTTTGAAAAAAGCTGGGGATAGTCCAATTGAAACAAGTTTATTGGAATTATTGTATAGAGGTTGACTGCATGAAAGGACTGTCTAAGTATACCAGCAGTATTGATTCAACTCATAATTTACTACATATAAAGTTGAACTGTGTCTCTGATTAATTTCTGATCATCATAGTTAACGTAATAATTTACACAGCCAATTCCAATAATTCTGTCAGACCTATCAATCTGTGCATTCAATTTACTTTTAATCAAATTATTGTAAGGAGCAAATTAATGGCCTGTAGACTACTAGAAAGTTCTGAGTATACAAAATGAAACACTTAAACAAAGGCAGATTGTTTTGAATATCTTTTAATACATCATATGTTCCTTCCTGATCATCCTAAGGTCAGCTATTTATTCTTTTTTTTCAAGAAATACAACTTTTGAACAAGAATGAAAAGGTTTTAGAGAAATATGAGGTAAAACCAGTAAGCATTAGAAGTCAGCATTACACCCACACTATACGTACTTTTACCTGTCAATTAAATATAAATACTATGTTAAAAGTGCATCTCAGAACATGCTTTTAATATCATCAACATGCATGCATAATTAATAAGTGCTTAAAATCATTACAATCAAGCAATTTGTCATTTAAAGTACCATCAGACAATAATAAGATCTATAACTATCAGTACTTCTTTACTTATTCATGTTTAATGTGTCAAAATATTTATGTAAAACAGAAAAATACCGCTCCTGAAATTGATTTGATGATGTTAAACTGTTGAAATTATTTTGTACATTTTTAAAATACATTCATTGGAGAAAAATTATAGTGATCTAAACAATTCTGTATGAGTTAAGTGACTAAATATTTCATGGTTATTAGTGAACTAAGCCTAAATTATCACTCCTTCAATGGATGATAGAATTCCAATTATAATTAAAACCTGTAAATGTAAAAATAAGGCATTGAACAAATTAATTGTATTAAAATTATTCTCTTTTTTTGATAGATAACATATCATAATCTTTTTACAACTCAAATATCCTGATCAAAAATAACGCTTTATGAATTTTGTGTGTCCAAGGTGCTTTTGTTGATTTATCTTCATCAGGAACCATTAATCCCAAATTTGTACTTTTGATTGATTATGAAAAATAATGAAAGTAAGGGAGTCTTTTTATTTAATCTTAAATTTTTTTACATACAATCAAAACTTTCAACCAATACAAATGTCACAGAAATGACATATGGATGGAATACTCTAAGTTATAACAGTAAATGTACTGAAATATTCTAAGAAGGATTTGAATTTCTGTTTGTCAGGGCTATAAAATTGGAAATATGTGAATCACTAAAACCAAATCTACTTAATCTTCAATCAGACTAACTCAACACTTCATTATTTTATGTTTTATTTCGAAATAGTCATATTTCATTTTATTGTATATACTTTGAATGAAGAATATATTTCAGTATTCTTCAATTCCAATGATAATGTGTTTGACTGTGTCTTTTTATCACAATAACGTTTCTACCCTTCTAAAAAATGGTAATATTGTAACATATTGAGCCCAAACTCATGTCTGTGACATTTACCTATAAAAAATAAGATAATGATATCCCTAAAAGTAGGCAATCAGACATGCAGATCTTAACCATATACAATTACAAGTAAAATGGATTGTGTTGTTATTGTAAGATGTGCATTTTACATTTTTGTACTTTTGCAGGATTACATACTGAGTATAACTTATCACCAACATTTTTTTTTTGAAAAAGTTAACATTTAAATATATGCTATATCTGTAAGTTTAGAAATTTAGACTTTAGTTCAAAAGAGGAACAAATATTTTAATTTCTAGACAGCAGCTTATACACATAACAACAAAATTCTCATAATGAGGAGAGAAAAGATGTTGGAAAATAACGTTTTTGATGTATTGAAAGACAAAAAATATTCAAGGATTAAATGTAATTCAAATTAACAGTACAGTACATGTTTCAGCAGAAATTTTCATGAAAAAAAACTATCAAGACACGATTGGGGCACACAGTAGATGATTCCTGCTATTGAGATTCATCAACTTATATGACACATGCTATAATGACAAAATAACTTAGAAAGTGCATGCTATTATGACTCATCACCTGATATGAGTTAAGCTACAATGACAAAATAACTATGAAGCTGCATGCTATATGTTAGTACAATGCCACACAACAAAGAACTGTACCATTGTGGACAGATATTTCATGTAGTCATCACTTGTGACCGTACTTTTCCACCACTGAAGCCATGAGGCATATGTGCGTTGATTTTTCTCTGCCATGACACGTGGCAAGTGATCTGTGACCAGTAACAGAGACATCTTGGATGGGTTATGTAAGTGGTCGTGTATACGTTCAGCATTTGGTGTCTATAAAGGAAGTATTGATGCCATACAAACAGTGTCAAAATATCTCATTTAAATGGAGAAATTAAAATGCTCTACAACGTTTGCTTATTAATGTTACATAACAAAAATCTGCATTTTCACGAATAAATACCTGGTAAATGGTATATTAGCTAAGTAATATATGTCACATAAAAGTGTCAATTACTTAATCTATGTCCATATTCCTAAGTCTGATAAAACTTTTTAATTTCTGTATTTTAAATTCAAAACTGTAAATTCAGAAATTTTTGCATGCATTTATTATTATGATTTTTGAAGAATTGACAAAAATGTGAGATTAATTATTGCGATTTAAGGAAAATCTTTACACAGATATCAGAATGTGAGTTCTCACTATTGCGATACTCACCCAGTCGCATTATTCACATTAATTAAAACCTCACAATAATTTCTGAATTTACAGTACACATGCCTAATGTTAAGAGGAAGATATAAAACTACTTACTCCTCCAAATAAAATGGCAGAGCGATCCACTGAAGGCTTGTAAAACAAATAGCTTGTGTAATATTTCTGTATACAAGTTTTAGTGTCATGGCTTGTAAGACAAATTAATTGATTTGTACTTTTTGTATTATTTTATGGTCTTGTGAAAATAATTGTTTGTTTGATACTTGGTTAGAATTTTATCAACTGTAAGTACTTTATAATATTGGAACAAAATAACGAGTAATAATGGTAGTCATACTAGTGTAATTCTTAATCTTACAATGTGTTCCTGTCTTTAAGGATTTCTAATGTATTGGCATGCACGACATAAACATGAAAATGATAATTATAGTTATAAATCATTTAGTATTTGCATGCATTCTATTATAGACATTGATTGCAAATTATATCTTTACTTTTGTGACTTCAAGGGAAAACCATATTGCTGATTTCAGCCAAGAAAAATTAAATGTATCTTAAACCCTAAAAAAAACAACATTTTGTGAAAAATATATTTCTGAAATTAAAGTGATGTTAACATTTAAATACAAGTACCAGTACCTCATACGAAAAAGACCTGAAGGAAAATAAAAACATAAATAAAGTGTGATGTATTTTATTTACACTATACTTTTATTTAAGATTATTACCAATATTAATATTTGTGGTTAAATAAGGGCTAAGTCAGGAGCCTGTTGTTTAGTGGTTGTCTTTTGTTGGTGTGGTTCATAAGTGTTTTTCATTTCTCGTTTTTTATATAGATTAGACCATTGGTTTTCCTATTTGAATTGTTTAACACTAGTCTTTTTGGGGCCCTTTATGAGGGTCGTAATGGGGGTACCTTCATGATGAATAACGGTTAAAATTCTTTCCAAATGACGTTAACAGTGATTTTTGGAGTATGACCATAAAATGTACACTTTCTTTTAGACGATAAAAAAATCAACTGATTTTGACGAATCACGTTAAATTTTTTCCAAAAATAACGGTAACGATTATTATTTGAGACCTCTGACGAATCACGATAAGGATATTTTGACGAATCATGTTAAAATTTTAACCAATTTGACGCTAACGGTAGCCGAAAATGACTGTTTGACGCCTGAAGGTAAAGGGCATTCATACCCTCCTTTATATGCTTGCTGTTCGGTGTGAGCCAAGGCTCTGTGTTGAAGGCCGTACTTTGTCCTATAATTGTTTACTTTTTACACATTGTGACTTGGATGGATAGTTGTCTCATTGGCACTCATACCACATCTTCTTATTTATACTATATATAATTGACAATTAAAATTATTTCATAAATGAAAAGTACAATGTGGGGCTAAATTGACCTAAAAACAAATGTATTTTAAATGATGTCTGATTTACAGAACCATATGTTGAATCTATGTAACTGATACACAATAGCAATTTTGATGTAAATGCTACTTGAGAATATAGAGAAAAAGGTAATTCACGAAAGCAACACACACTAAGTTTTAGACTTAATGTCCTTACCATAGGTGCAAACATGTCATCTCCTAAAAAGTTCTTTGGTGGGTTTGCTGGCCTGAAAAATTGAGCAGTCTGAAATGTTGATTAAACAGTCTGTAATCCAGATTTTAAATTTATGAAATAAACTTGAAAATCCCTACAATAATTTTTGTAAATAACCAGATATGGAAGATGCCCCCTCTGCTCTGCTATATGCATGAGTATAGTTCCACATACTTTAGATTTGACAAACTGTGATGTTGAAGTACAACTTGAAATTGTTGCGCTGTCTGTAAGACTCCTGACCATAAGAAATTATAAATTTAACACTATATATGATGATCTATCTTTTGATCTATCTTTTATTTTTGTTTTGAATGTCTACACTTGCAGGACTGAATGTCCAGCCAAAAGGTTTTAACTTTCCAGTTTTAGTAGTCACCAAGTTCTACTTTCTATTTCCAGTGTTCACCAAGCTCAACTTCTCAGTATTGATTAAATATTTGACAATACTTAAAAATCTTATTTATTGCATTAGGGACATTAACTTGTTGTAGTACAAACCATGTTTTCAATTATATAGCAAGTGAGAAGGAAATGAAGTCCAGCTACCAGTTTTTGTGAATATTTAACATCCCCCATTCTAACTTCTAGTACCAAGAAATGACTACATCCTAATACCTGGCATTTTGAGAATATTTGAAAAAAAATCAAAATCGTGTGAACATGCACACCTCTATTATGTGTACAAACAACCTACAAAATATTAAAGCTGTAGCTCAAAAACTGTAGGAGGAGATAGCCAGACAAACCCTGATCTCTTTATTCAGCTTGTATAAAAAAAATTACTAAGTCCAAAAACCTGGCATTATGATAAGATAAGATATTTTATTTCCAATTATGGGCCCCAAAGGGCATAAACATTACAACATCAATAATTTTTCATAATACAATACAAACAATGAGATAAAAAAAAAAAAAAAAGTTAAACGAGAACTATTTAAGTTCTTAAAGAATACGTAGATAAAGAATCTATAGTATGTTTTTTTTTTTAATACTAATGCATTTTATTGCAAGTGTGGTTGATATAAATAAACAAGCAGCCCAAAAAGAAAAAAAGAAAAATAGATATCCACATATGTATAGTACACAAAAAGTTGGATCAATTAAATATATAATAATTAGCCAAAAAGAAAGTAGAAATTAAACATGTCCATGACTCATCCTGTGTCAGCAGCAAATAGGAAAGCATTATGGTTTCCTAAAGGCAGCTGACACCAGGGGGCGATACCTTATGGGCCATAGGCATGTAAAATGTGTGTAAATGTCTCTTTCCTACCTGTATCAAAAGCAAACAAGGAAGCATCAGAATATTTGAAAAAAATCAAAATCCTATGGACATGCACACCTTTATTAGGTATTTTGTGTGTCCAAGAAGCTTTAGCTAATTTATCTTCTTGATATGCATCTATATCTGGAGGGACGAACTGATGAATGGACGGATGGACAGGGGTAAATTAATATGCCCCTCAACAAAAATATAAACAATTCCTGTAAACATCTGTATCAAAGGAAATAAAGTTGTTATAAACAGGAAATATTTAATCTGAAATTTCAAGATTTTGATGAATTAACATGTTTTTTGTTACCTAACAAGGGACACACAGCATATTCAATGACATTCTGTATCATCTGTGAATTAAATAATACATTTCAGTTTTAGACACAATTCACTAACAGGACAACTCAGTGCTACCGTTAAAAGGCTTGTATAGGCCGCGGTTTTATTCTCCAAAATTGAACCTGCCAGACAGGGTGCGGACTATAGAGTACGATAAGAAAGTAATAAAAGAAAAAATTGATTTCCCGAGGTGGTTTGTGTACATTCCGCCATGTTTGTTATTGATATTGTAGAGGGCGCTCTTATCATTTTCAAAACTAATAATTTTACCTAATCCATAGTAATATGTTATTTTTATTCAATATCAAATATATACTGATAGATTAAAAAATTAAATGCTTCACTACAAATTTCTCGTTTCTTTTCACTGAAAATTGGAATCTGCTTGAATTTAACGGAACGAAAAAAGTATAAAAGTCAACCGAGAACCAGCTTACGATGTATAAACTACAAAGCGTAATCGGTTATTCGTTCCGTTTTGGTGTTTCATTCTGACGCATGTGTTTTGTTTTAGCTTAAGGTCCTTCAAACATTAATGTGATAGATATATTAAACATTGTTTTACACAAGGATGGAACTGTTTTACTTTCAAAGTCGTATTCTAGTGATATCTATTAAGTACGGATTTTCCGTACACTCTAACCGTATTTATTTTCTTTTACACGTGCTATTCAAACTTCCAGTTTAAACCTACACAAGTTTCTAAATTGTTTTTTTGTGTGATTTTGACACATTTTAACACTCGTGAAGTGTTCTAGAATCATTAACAAGCAGTTTCAACTTCTATTTGATGATGGAGAACAGGTTTTTCCATGAAAATACCGCAAACGACCACACACGATCTGAAATTACCACAGTTTCATTAAACATTTTCTAACAATTACAAAAAGTTTTTTTACCTGAAATTTCGTGGCGATAAGGGGGTGCGGACAGTACACCAGTGCGAACTATAAAAGCCCGATTACGCTATATATGTATTTTCTGATGACTGAAAGTTAGACAAAGTAAACAGTTGTGTTTACATTCATATCTAGTTTTGATCCCTGTTTCATAAATCTATTTCTCATGACAGTCGTTGCTTATTAATGTGAAAGTTTCATTTTATTACCCTGATGTTCACACAAAGGTAGGTAACTCTATAATTCATAGTGCATACTTACGTTCTAACCCATTGTTTTGGATCTATTTCTCCCCATGGAGGATTCTTATCTTTTCGAAGATTGGGGTTGATGACTCGATCAGCTCTACGCTTAGACAAGGTGGATGATGCCATTGTTCCTGTAAGGGTGACTTTGTCAGCAGCAGGCATTACAAGTTCATCCTAAAATGAATATCAAACACAGACATATCAAGTTCATCCTAAAATGTATATCAAACACAGGCATAACAAGTTCATCCTAAAATGTATACCATGGGAACAGCCCAAAAAATCATGACATTGCCAATCTGCTGAAATACAATATATTCATATTTTACCACAAGTATGTACTCAAAGAGTTTGAAGGATGCCATATTAGAATGTATCTTCATATTATAATTTTAGATGTATAAATCATAAATTGCCAATAGAACAAAGTAATTTTTGGGGTGTCGAACGTGATGATGATTTATGCAATTTATGTGAAATTGGTGATGAATTTGGTTGTTATTACTGTTTATATTCACATACCCCTGATGGGGTCTTGAGAAATAAAAGTTTCAACTTTCAAATTTTGGAAAGTTAATTCTTTTCATTCATAGGTCATTTGTTTCATCTTATTTGGTAATACCTGAACTAACAAGACAATACAAGGGGAAATTAACCCGAACTTGATGAGTATATGTAATACCTGCATTACAAACCAAAGGGGTTTGAACTTTTTAACACTGTTGATTAATATACTATTACCCTGAATTTTTAAAAGGGAGTATTGAAGGCATAAATAATTCTTCATTAAATCATTAACAAAGTTTTGGGGGTATATAGTTTAGACTTGATATTTTGGTAAATTACAAGCTAAAACATCAAGACTTGCATGACTACCATTTAAACCATTGTCGTGACGTCAGCCTATTCATTTACCGTGGATTCTTTTTCTAGAATCAACACTTCCTAAATCTGTCGCTTAAATGGACCAAATTATATTCAATTGTTTCCTTTGTGTGCCTAATTTCATTAAATTTGAATTGGCCAATTTACTGATTACTGTTCACTAATGGAATTAATTTAAAAAATTACCTTTAACTTTGGTAATTTTTATATGCCTTCACTGGGAATCGAACCCCTCCTTCTTTGTTGTCTCTATTCTTGAGTTTTTCTGTTTTTCTTATTTTGTATGTTATTGTGGATATTTTTGTAATAAAAGCGGGTTTTCCCCTTTATTTTTGGATTATTATTGGCTATTTTACATCTTTGAAAAGAAAATGATTACATTCAATTTGTCCATTTTTGTTTGAAGAATATAGTATGCTTTCATCTGTTTTACTACATATCTTTACAAATGTTTATTCGAAAATCCCTATGCAAGTAAATTGTGATGTGCCTAGAATAGGCTTCTTGATAGAATTTCTGTAGCATACTTATTATATATACTTAGAAATAAGTTCAAATATGTCTTATTTTGTAAATTATGGATGACATTAAGATGCCTGATAATTTAAAGACAGATGTGTTATGTTACATTTATATTTCTCTAACCAATTAATTGTGAACTTAGATTTATTAATGTATCGTTGAACATGATAACATGGTTATTATAACTCACTTACAACTCCTTCTAATTAAGAAAAGGCTTTAATTTTGAAAAGCCATTAACACAATAGTTTAAGTTAGAGATACAATGAATAAGCATTGTTTCATGAAAAACAAACCATTCGCCCTCCAGGCTCATAGTTTCTTTTTCGAGAATCAACACTTCTTCATTGTATCTATAATATGTAACACTATTATTAGACTTGAACTTTCTGCAGATCATAAGCCAAAGATCAAGACTTGCATGACTTCCATGTAATGTAAAACCATTTTCAGAATTGATATTTCGGCAAATCATTAGCCAAAACATCAAGATTGCATGACTACCATGTACTTTAATTTCAACAAGCATTCTGAGAGTATTGCATGGCAATACATAGTCCCCTACTGATAAAAAATGCATTGCACTGGAACAAAATGCTAACTTGATCTATAACTTGTCATGGTGTAAACTATAACACAAAATTTATATCAAATCAATATCTTCAAGCATGACAAAGATGTAGAAAACTGATTATTTGCGTGAATTTTCTAAGTCCGAGGACCACAACTCTGCAAAAAAAACATTCAACCAGATAAAATTTGAACTTGACCTGTAACTTGTCATGGTAAAACTATACACCAAATATCAAATCAATATCTTCAAGCATGATGAAAAAAAATACAGAAAACTGATTACTTGCCTGAATTTTCTAAGTCCAAGGACCATAACTCTGCACATAATCATCAGACCAGAACAAAATTCGAACTTGATCTATAACTGTACATGGTAAAACTATATACTAAAAATCAAATCAATATCTTTAAGCATGACAACAAAAATGTGGAAAACTTATTTCTTGTCAGAATTTTCGATGTCCAGGGACCATAACTCTGCACAAAATCATCAGACCGGAATAAAACTCAAACTTGATCTGTAACTGGTCATAATAAAACTGCATACCAAATATCAAATCAATATCTTCAAGGACGTAGAAAAAAGTGTGGAAAACAGATTTGCCGGACTGACGGATAGACAGACAGACAGAGTGCAATCCTATAGCCCCTTCCACTTCGTCCGTAGGGGACTAATAAAGACACTCTATACCAGAATGCAGAAGCCTAAATTAAGGGTATATCATTAGGTTAAATGTTTATGGTAACATGTAAATCAGATAAAAAATTTACAGTAACTTTTAGGAAAATTCCACTGAATCTTAACTAAATAGATAAATTGACCCTGCAAAGATATCTGGCGGATACAGAATAACTTTTATCCACCAGATACTGGTTAACTTTTATCCTCCAGATACCGGATAACTGTTATCCACCGGATCTATATAGATAGGGTGCAACTATCAATCCATCATTGTGCCTCTGCAGAAGGTCTGTGACTGAAACTGGTCAGGCTATGAACCATCACCAGGCCCTGTTAATTATGTGTTTTGGCATATCCTATATGTTATATGCTACATAGTTTTGAAGTGTAATCTAAGCCTTACATCGTCCAGGTTCAGATGATCTGTGTTAATTGTCTTCATGATCTCTTTGTAGACTTCCTTGATTTCATCGCTCAAGAAAAGATTCTTGTCTAGACTCTTAACTGTTGATGGAGATATCTGTAGCAAAAATAATATCTTCAATCATTCCACAAATATTTTGTGTAAATCATCACTTACTTTCATTCTTATTTCAGAAATGAACTTCTGATGAAAGTCTAAACAAATTTATCTAAAGAACTATTTCATTTCTAATAAGATGTGGTGTATACTTCATATGAATAAATATATGGTAGAATACTCAGTAAATCACAACTAGCACAAACTCATTACTACAAAATGGGTCTTGTGCAGAAAAAAAACACATTTTTAAGAATCTTTTTACAGATTAAAATTCAAAATTTCTATTCCTTTTCCACATAAATATAAAATAAGTATTAATGAGACCTATGTTAGAAATTAAACAATGAGGTCTTAATTGATAACCACTTAATCCACATTGCTGTGGTAACTTTTAATCTATGTAAATAAATCTGTGGTAAAATCTCAAACAAACCATGGCTGCCAACAGAATTATCAAAGTATTATAAATTTCTATATAATTGCAACCAATTTTTTCTCTGTACCATGACAGCACATCAAACCAAATTGATCTCTCTGTTTTCGATTTCTATATGAACACAATAAGGAAATCTTCATTTAAATTCGTCTGCATGTATTTCATGTGTACACATGTTTAAAGAGATTTTTAAAACAATAAGTAACCCACCTCGTCCTTGAGGTCATTATATACTGTTGAAAACCTATCAATGGTTATAGACGACATACACACGCGTTCTGATACTCGTATATCTGAAGTTCTCACATCCATCTGAAAACACAAAGTTTTATAGATTAATATAATACACATTGTCATGACCAACCTGAAAGAAGTAATTAAAGACAAAAAAATAACTTGGACAGTTATCTCCCTTGCTGAGTTCAGGAGGACATATTTTTATCACTATTAAGGATGAAATAGTAACCTAGGACCATTCCACACTTCTGAATTGTTTTGGATTTGAAATTTCTATGATAAATTCTGTCAATATGTGAACAACACTTTAAATCATTTAAAAGGCTTGAAAATAATTTCTAATCTAACTAACAATTTTATTTTAATTCATTTACTAGCATACATGGTATTTGGCAACTAACAATACAATGTTTTACATCCAATTAACCATTTATTAACTCACAAATAACCATAGAAATAAATAAAAAATCAACAAATTTCTAACTTTTCTTTAGATCTATGTAACGATTTTATATATTCAATTTTTTTTTTTCTACCATTACTACATATCTATTTCATTATTACCAAACTATAAAATTATAATCTAATAACATGTGATTACTAAACTTACACCAGGTAATTTAGCACTAACTGTATCTGGCTGTGGATGTTTAGGTTTCTTTAGAGGCTTACTGAAAAAAATTTAAAATATTGCATTTTACTTAAAAATAACTAAATTTTTGTCCAAATCATATGTGTAAATATCCTGCAAAAAAGAGTCTGGTCCAGTTAAGAAGAATGGTTTACTGTACCAAATGTCCAATTGAGTTCTCAAAGCCTTGGGAACCACTGACTGATATGATCACAAGATATATATAGTTAAATATGATTAAGAGAAGTTGAACTTTGAGCTATGGCTCACTAATGATACACCTACTTTAAATATTCGAACAACAGGAAGTTGATAAGTGATGGAGGTGAAAAGGAGTCATAAGGTATAGCATGCTCACATGAAGCTTGATTTTAAAAATTCAAAAAGCCTTGATTTGTTTTTTCTGGGGAAAATGTGATGGAAATTTCAAACATGGCCATTATGGGTAAGAATATAAAAGTATTCAGTGAACAGGAAGCTGATGAAAAGGGAACATGAAAATGCAACAAAAGTATAACAAGCTAACATTTATCTAGATACCAAATTCCAGGAGCCGTTAATTTTTTTATTCCTGAGAAAGATGTGACCACATTTTATGTGACAGACAGAAGGACACAGAAAGAAACACTGACACATGTAAACAAGTATACCCCTCAGCTGGGGTGTAAATATACTCAGATATGACTGCAATATACTAAGAAGTTATCATAATTTACTAAGAAATCAACACAAGATATACTCAGATATGATCACAAGATATTACCAAATGTTATCAGAAAGCATACTTAAAATATTATCACACATTAACCCAGCAATTAAAAAAACCTCAGAATAAGAGTTGATCAATCCAATGAATGCTATGAATGATTCTAAGTTTAGCACAATTACTGACTTAAAACAATTCTTTTTTTCCCTTTATGGTTCTTTTCAATGTATGTTCAAAACAATCTTAAACCTGTTGACAAAACCCAGCAACACTGTAAACCTGGCAAAATAAAACCATATGTTATAGACTGTCAAAAACTTTATTCTATAAATATAAACATGATAAACATGTATAAAATATCCAACATACTTTTCTTTCTCTTTTTCCTTCTTTTCTTCTTCTTCCAGTTCTTTCATCTGTTTTTCTAATCTTTCTGCCAGTCCATCATATTTGGCATGCCTTGTTATAGCCTGTAAATAATAAACAAATTAATGAGTCTTCATTCAGACATTCAAACTTCCTGATTAAGTCTTTATATCTTGAGAAACTGAGAGAGATGTCTTTAACACACACACACACAGGCAAAAATTAAGTTCATGCCAAACTGTTGTTCATTTCTATTACATCTTTTTACCCGCCTGTGTAAATTTACACATTTGGTGAAGAAGACCTAGTACAGGCTAATTCCTAGAGAGTAAACAAATACAAGGTACTACGTCAAATTCATTCAGGCTAACTGGATATGATGACTAGAACTTCCTCCTATGGCATTATTACTATCTCAGCTAACAGGGTAAAATGACTAGGAATTCCTCCTAGTGCAGTATTACTATCTCAGCTAACAGGGTAGGATGACTAGGACTTCCTCCTAGTGCATTATAACTTTCTCAGCTAACAGGGTAGGACGACTAGGACTTCCTCCTAGTGCATTATTACTATCTCAGATAATGGGGTAGGATGACTAGGACTTCCTCCTAGTGCATTATAACTTTCTCAGCTAACGGGGTAGGATGACTAGGACTTCCTCCTTGTGCATTATAACTTTCTCAGCTAAGGGTGGGATGACTAGGACTTTCTCCTAGTGCTTTATAACTTTCTCAGCTAACGGGGTAGGAAGACTAGGACTTCCTCCTAGTGCATTATAACTTTCTCAGCTAACGGGGTAGGGCAAGTAGGATTTCCTCCTAGTGCATTATTACCATCTAAGCTAACAGGGTAAGATGACTTGGACTTAATCCTAGTGCATTATTATTATCTCAGCTTACAGGGTGGGACGACAAGAAATTCCTTCTAGTACATTATTACTAGCTCAGCTAAAGGTGTAGGACAACTAGGACTTAATCCTGGTGCATTATTACTATCTCAGCTAACAGGGTGGGACGACTAGGACTTCCTCCTAGTGCATTATTACTATCTCAGCTAACAGGGTAGGATGACTAGGACTTCCTCCCAGTGCATTATTACTATCTCAGCTAACAGGGTAGGACGACTAGGACTTCCTCAGAGTGCATTATTACTATCTCAGCTAACAGGATAGGAGGATTAGGACATCCTCCCAGGGCATATTACTATCTCAGCTAACAGGGTAGGACGATACACCTTATCGCTATTTGTCCGCCATTACTGGACATCACAAAAGTTCCCTAAAATTTTGACATCATAATAGAAAATATCTGATGCCACAATGGAAAAGTGATTGTTGTATGACGTCAAAAGTTCAAGCGGGACAGATTCTCGGGTCAAGCGGGACAGATTTCCAAATAGTGATAAGATGTATTAGGACTTCCTCCTAGTGCATTATTACTATCTCCTTGCCAGTCAATTTTCTAGAATGGTCCAGTCATCCTTTTTTTATGTTATTGTAGACATTTCAGGATATTTTGATGTTATTAACCTTTTCCATGAAAGTTTTCATAGTTATTTTATTAAGGTCAAATTATAAATCAACAGGTGATAATTACTTGAAGCAAGGGAGGTAAATCTTCTTCCACTCTAATGTCATCCTGATCTCCTCTTGATATCAATTTTTTCAGATCTTCAGCAGCATACTCTCTGGTACCAGGTTGTGGACCTTTAGGTTTAATTTCTGCAGTCTTTGTTGAAATCTTTAAAACACAAAACTATGTTGGTTGCTGATTGTTCAATTTTAAATAGTTCAAAAATAAAAAAACAGATAACAAAAATTTACAAAATCTTATGATTTAAATGTCTTCTCTTTAGGTGTCAGACCACCAATTAACTCCCTCCAATTTACAACGTATGTAAAAGTAGCCCTACTCTGTCAAAAAATAGTGCTTTTGATGTCATTTTTTAATTAAACTAACCAACAAATTTGCAGAAATGAAACTTTTGGTGAAAGAGAAAGATATTTAGACCATTTTGAGCCAAAATTTACTTGTTTGCATTAAAAATTAAGGATTAATGCACTCCATAGTATACTAATTTCAGATTTCCAGGAAACCATGGGTTATTTTTAGTAGTACTTGTCTTCCAAAAGGAAGTTCTTTCTTACAAGACTTTAAACATGGGTTGAAAATTGACATGTAGAAAGGTGATACATGTACAATTCAGGATATACCTGGTTTCTATGAAGTTAAACTTAAGGTAAATTTTTAAAAAAGCTGTGAAAAATGCAAAATTTGGTTGAATAGATAAGGATTTTGAATTGGTGGTCTGACACCTTTAGGTAATCAAAGAATTAAAATATTACATTCACCAATTAATCACACACAGATTAACAGATCAATAAAATTCAAATCATGAAGAGAGTGGTATACATAAAAGTAGCCATGTTTTCACATTATAAACACAAATACTATGCCCTCCTTATAACATAAAATCATAAAAAAGAATTAAAATGAAATTTCAAAAGTATAAGAATTGTAGATTTTATTCTTATATAAGTTACTGCAATTCTTAAATAAAATGCTCCGCTGGGGCGCAGCTTGATACGACCGCAGAGGTCGAACCCTGAACAGTTGGGGCAAGTATGGACACAACAATCAAGCTTGATACAGCACTGAATTTGGATTGAAATTAAATATTTGACACAGCATAGGTTTCTGACACAGAATGAATGTGGTCTAAGAACTTAAAATTTTTTAATTTACCTATTCAAACCATATCATTATTATTTGCTTTTATATATAAATCAGAAATAACCAATTAAAAATGGAAAATTTTAAAGAAAAAAAGGAAAAAAAAATCCCCCCCCCCCAATTTTTTGAACCCCCTTATGATTCATCACCCCCAAACTCAATCCCAGCCTTCCCATTGTGGTATGGTAGCTTGCAGTACAATTTCAGAGAGATCCATACACTTGAACACAAGTTATTGTCTGGAAACTAGAAAAATGCTTGGTTTTTTTCCCCCTTTTTGTCCCCAAATTCCTAAACGTTTAGGGCAATTACCCCCAAACTCAAACCCTGCTTTCCCTTTGTGATATGGAACCTTGAAGTTCAATTTCATAAAGATCCATACACCTACACACAAGTTATTGTCCTGAAACAAGAAAAATGCTTGTTTTTTTGCCCCTTTATGGCCCCCAATTCCAAAAATTTTGAGGCAATTACCCCCAAAATCAATCCCAGCCTTCCCTTTGTGTTATGTTACCTTGCAGTACAATTTCAGAGAGATCCATACACTTGAACACAAGTTATTGTCTGGAAACTAGAAAAATACTTATTTTTGGCCCCTTTTTGGCCCCTTATTCCTAAACGTTTTAGGCAATTACCCCCAAACTCAATTCCAGCTTTCCCTTTGTGATATGGAACCTTGTAGTACAATTTCATAAAGATCCATACACTTACACACAAGTTATTGTCATGAAACTAGAAAAATGATTGTTTTTTGCCCCTTTTTTGGCCCCTAATTCCTAAAATTTGGAGGCAATTACCCCTAAAATCAATCCCAGCATTCCCTTTGTGATATGGAACCTTGTGGTACAATTTCAGAGAGATCCATACACTAACACACAAGTTATTGTCCTGAAACTAGAAAAATGCTTGTTTTTTGCCCCTTTTTGGCCCCTAATTCCTAAAACTTGGAGGTAATTTCCCCCAAAATCAATCCCAGCATTCCCTTTGTGATATGGAACCTTGTGGTACAATGTCAGAGAGATCCATACACTAACACACAAGTTATGTCTGGAAGATACAAAAATGCTTATTTTTGGCCCCTTTTTGGCCCCTTATTCCTTAACTGTTGGTACCATAACCCCCAAAATCAATCCCCACCTTCCTTTAGTGGTATTGAACCTTATGGTAAAATTTCATAGAGATCCATTCACTTAAACTAAAGTTAGAGTGTGAAAACCAATGTGTCTTCGGACGACGACGACGACGACGCCAACATCATACCAATATACGACCGCAAAATTTTTTTGCGGTCGTATAAAAAGCATATCAGAATATTTTATCTGTGGTTTATCAGCTCTAATTATTATACTATTTGACATTGCAAGTTTTTTTATTTTGTATTGCAAAAAAATTTTTTTTATGACAAATGGATATCAATTAAAAACATATAAAAAGATCACCAAATGGCAATAAATACAGTGACTTAATTAAAGAGCTTTCGTGAGCACACTCACATACACTATGCCCCCCTCCCCTCACCCATTGTCAATCAAAATCTCACCAGATTCCTAAGTTCAAAGACTCATAACTCCTACAAAAGTCACTGATAAACATTTCTTGTGGATATGCACATCTACATAGTATGTCCTCAATAACTAAGTTTCTTGAAATTCTGCTGTGTGGTTTCAGAGGAGTTGCAATGACAAACTGTCGCAGTAGTATATTTTAGTCAAAATTGTCAGTTCAAAGGGGCATAACTCCCCAAAAAAAATGTAATCATAAATTTCAGAGGCGTTGTGATGGAAAACTGTTGCAGTAGTGTATTTAGGCTAATATTCCAAGTTCAAAAGGGCGCAACTCCTAGAAAAAAAATTTAATCATAATTTCCTGTTGCTATGCATATCTACATAGTATGTCCTTATCATCTACAAAGTTTCATGAAATTCTGTGGTGTGGTTTATTAGGAGTTGCGATGATATACTGTTGCAGTAGTATATTTAGGTCAAAATTTAAAGTTCAAAGGGGCATAACTCCCAGAAAAAAACTGTAATCATAATTTCCTGTCGCATAGTATGTCCTTATTATCTACAAAGTTTCATGGAATTCTGTTTTGTGGTTTAATAGTTGAGATGACACGAACAAAACTGAAGGTCGGACAAACGGAGTGAGGAATGACAGTCAAAAATATTATACCCTACGCAACTTTGGTATAATTATATTTCATACTTGTTGTTTTTTCTGTGCCTGTCTTCTAAGCATCTGTAATTCTATCTCTGACAACTTATCTTCTTTAACAGATGGACTGATACCAAGTTCTTCTAGCAGATTCTCCCCAACTTTCAAGTGTGGCAAAGACAGAGATCTCTGTAATATTACAATATATACACATGTACATGACAATTCATTGATTTAGACATATTTTTTAAACCAATAGTCTTTTTCAACAATGTGCACCTTAAAATGAAAGAAGTAGACCAATAAAATTGTCAAATTATGAAATTAATTATTTGGTATTAAACCAATTAGCCAATGAATACAGCAAGAACAATGTTGTAAAAACTTGGGATTTTCATTTTGTTTAATATATTACTAAAAAATTATCACTGTACTCAATCATTCAAAAGAAATAATAAACATTTAAAGTCAATGTACTTAACTTTAAATAAAAATCTGACAATTCTCCTTAAATTTTGCTGAAAGCTATGAGAGCTTTCCCTTCAATGATTTTTTTATATAAACTATGCATACTATCATTGTAATTTACTATGAAGCCTCTAAATAGTAACGCCTTTAAACTGGACAAAATTCACTGCAAAAAAATCACTTTTTTTCAATCCCTATGACTGAGTATAATTACAAGTAACAACTTACCTTCAGAATAACTTTCTGTTTAGATGCATCTTCTTTCGATACTCTAAAAAGGAATTGAAATATACTGTAAATCACTCTCATATGTAATCAATATATCCTTATGGTTAAAGGAATTCCTTTTAGAAATAAAATAAACACACTTTAACAATTTGTTAAAATTGCATTTAAAAAAATGCAACTTCAATCTATATATATAAAAAAATCATGATGGTGGATTATCAAAAAAGTAGCTGACTATTTACTATGGTTAAAGATAATAATAAAACTTTAATCAAAATACATTTGCGAAATTTTTTCTCCCCATGTAAATCAAAACATACCCTGATGCTTTCGACATTCTCTCTGCAGTCATAGGAGGAGAGGTTGTTGATGCTGAAAAGAGAAATTCAAAATTGATGTCAGTGGCATTTTCAACAAAAAACCTCTCATTATTTCAATATGTACAATTCAAACTTTTATTACAATTCACTAAATTAAATTCTAGGCAACCTGAGCATTTATAGTTTTTGTGAATTGAAAACATTTCTGAATTTACAGAATTCAAATGTTATGGACTTAATTGAGAGTTTTACTTACAAATAACACTTACGTTTAGTTATTGTGAATATGATCACAGGAGTTAAATATAGTAATGATAAATCAAAAGAAAGGCTGAACTTTAATCTGAAGTGAGAGAAAAAAAACAACAAGTAAGATACTGAAATGAACACTGTTTTGAAAAATCATTTTGTTATATAACAATTTCCTACCTTGTGATGGTGTTTGTAATTCTCTGTCTGGTAGTTCTGATATCACATTCATCAGCTTGGATGTATCTAAATCTGGCATGGCTTGTAAAATCTATTACAAATAAAAATATTATCTGACATTAACTGCTCAATCTGCACCACAGTTAACTCATAAAATAGCACAATATACACATCCTATTAAGGCATGACATGTGCAATAAAAAAAGGAATAGAAATAAAATGTAGAAATAAAGCTAGAATTTTTTCGAGGGGAGTAAGGTATATTTATGATTTTATATTTCATCTGTTAAACAGATATCATTTTGTTTTTTTTTTCCGTTTTAATGTACCCTTAGATTGGTACTTTGTGTCTTTTATCTTTTTGTGTTTCTGGCTCATCTAATGAAACAAACCCTTTCCAACCAATTTTTATATGTTGTGTCACAGGTTAGGTGGAGGGTTGAGTGCTCACAAACATGTTTAACCCCGCCACTTAACTCTGTCTTATCTGTCTTTTCTTTATTGTCTTATCATGAATCAGTCCCTTGGTTTTCTCATTTGAATTATTTTTACATTATGTCTAGGCCTTTTATAGCTTATTATATGGTATGAGTTTTCCTCATTGTTGAAGGTTGTTAGATGCTTACATCCATGTCATTTGGTCTCTGATGAATAGTTATCTCATTGGCAATCATACTACATCTCCTTATGTTTATATTAAAGTTTGATTCCATAACTTTAAAAAGACAACAACTCTATTATCTATAAAACAAATTTAATTATTTTGAAAAATTGGAAGCCACTAGACTATTTAAACTGATAAAAAATCATAACTTATCATAGTCAGTTAAAGAGCTCATCAGAACTAATGTTTTTCTGTGCATATATGTAGTACTCTGAACAGTGATGGTTATGCTGAAGTGCGATTGGTGACGCTGAAGTGTTTTTTTTATCATGCTGAAGTGTGATGATAGCATAGTGACGCTATCTTGTCGATAGTAAAGTCAAAGTGCGTTAGTGGTAATGCTGAAGTGCGATTGATTACATAAACTATATTTTCAATGTTTTTCATGTTTACATGTCAATTTGTTTGTTAGAAGCAGCTTTTCAGGTTTTTAAGTAAATCACAGAGATTGTCATGATAAATAGTCATTACATTTCGTATCATAACTGAAACGTTGTTGTTTACTTTGTAAATATGCTTTGAAAAAAATAATCCAACGTTCAAACAAGCATTTAGAAATTGACATCTATAGATGCTATATGCAAAGGTTATTGCCCATTCATACCAGTACTAATTTAAATACTGAAAAACAAGACAGCTATAAGCAATTTAAGTACTACTTGCTTTGTCACAACAACACAAAATAGCAATTAAGATATTCAGCTACAGTGAATGAGAGCAGGAAATAAGATAGATCGTCCTATATTTTTTACAGCAAATGGAGGAAATATGAAATTCTTTGTCGGGACACGAGATCAATCTTTTTATAGTCACTCTATTATGGTCCCATCTGGGATCACCATCTCAAACACTACATTGAACATCCATGTTATAAGACAAAACAAAAGACCATCAAACTTCAGCTTCCCCATCACACCTCCAAATCCAACATATACGCCGCTTTTAAATAGAAGTTACTTCCTTACTACCTTACCTAACAAAAAAAAATGTCAGAAAGCAATTAATCTTTTAGATGAATGAGACATACCTCTCTGGCTTCATCATTAGCTGTTCTGTGATAAAATACAGTTTTGGACTTTGGTCTACTCTCCTCAAACTGTAACATAAAATAAAGAATTTCATTAACTATATCAGAGAACAGTGGAGGTAAATTCATAATGAAAAAAAAACGGTCCTCAAATTCCCCATTTTGCAAGAATAAATATTGATTCAACATATTTTAGGCTTTTTAAAATATAATGCTCAAAACTAGGAGGGTTGCCTGTAGATGAAAAAAGGTCATTAGCACCAAGGAAATGCTTTCTTTTTAAAACATTAAGACAGAAATGCATACCATTTTCTTAAAGCTAAGAGCCTGTTTCTGCATGGCTGCTGTAGATGGTTTTGCTTTATAAACAATCTCATCTTCATCAGTATGGGTTTTACCACGTATATCTTCCACAATATATCTTCTTATGGTCAGGATATTCAGACTGAAAATGATTTAATTTATCACATATATTACATATTTAAACGACCCATGGTTCACAAATATAGTGTATCTTAGGGTAAGATAAGAGTCAACTACTAATCAGCTATTGTGTGATGCATAATTGTAAAGACCCTGCATAACCGAGGTATCCACTTCAGGGACTCTACCTTACTACAGATTCACCAGGCGTTGCTTCACTTTCATTTGTAATATATCATAGGAGTAATATGACTGTTGTCATAGGTGGAGCTAGATCTGCTAACCCTTTCAGAGCACCTGATTTTTAATTCCACTTTGTATTGCTCAGTCTATAGTTTTCTAGGTTATGTTTTGTATACTGTTGTTTGTCTTTTGGCTGTTTTTTTTCTATTTTTACCATTACATTGTCAGTTTGTCTTCCATTATGAGTTGGAGTACCTTTGGTATCTTCTGCATCTCACGAGAGGTAACAACCATAATAATACATCTAATAATCTTGTATACTTAGATTCAGGGTTAAAGGATTTGAATTATAAAATACGTCAAAGAATTTTTTTCTTTTAAAAGGCATTAACTACAATTAGGACAAAAAATTAAAGTGTGATTTTATTTCTTCAAAAGTATATAAAAATGGAAAATATTGAAATAGTAACTTGTTATCAGCAGCCAGTTTGGTTCGATTTTGTAAAAATATTTAAAGCTTATAAGCAATGCTGATATATTATGGTCTTGCAAGACAATAATTTGAGCTCATTTGACATGCAACCTCAATTAGACCCTTGTGGGATATGGGTTGCCCATATATATTTGCATGTGCTCTGAATGTTCAGTTGTTAAAAAGAAAAGGAAAATGTGAAAATTGAAAAGTGAAACAAGGGAGCCACCAAGAAAAACCATTTCATTGACTGATTTGTCCTACAAAAAATCATTCTTATACAGGTAAAACAATGATATACATTTTTTTTAATCTATAATCTATGACATGAAAACAAAGAGACCTAGAAAAATTGTCATTATTATATGGCATTTGCTTATCAGTCTATTTATATTTTTACTTATGTCTATATTAGGTCACATGACCATCAACAGCCTACGTGGTCATCTTGATGGTTAATAAGTTGGTGTCTAGCCTAAAATATGCACGAAATGCTGATACTTTATTACGATTTCATGCATTGTTTATTGTTTCCTATGGATCTATTGTAAGTTTTGTAAATATTTATGAATGCTTTAAATCAAATTAAAGAGTTCGAACCAATTTGGTGGTAATGAATTTTGCAGCTAATGCCCTTTTAAGACATAAAGTGGGACCAAAAAGTACTCTATATTTACTTTTAACTTTCATACTTCTTACATTTTAAAAATACACAAGTATTGTAGCTTTTTCAAATACTATATACACCTCAGTATTACTCACAATTTATCAGCATCAAGAGAAAGCTGTGCCTTTAGTCGACTCATATTTGCTGGACCACTAAATATACCTCTTTCATTTAGCACTGAAAATAAAGAAAATTTATAAGTTGACTTCTGTTTTGTGTTCTTTTTTGTGTAGTTGATTTTCTGTCTCACATCTTATGTTAAAAAAGTAATATGGTTTTAGGTATATTTTTCATTACCATGACAATGCTATATCATTTTTTTTTCTTTTATGGGAAAACAGTATGTACTGGTACATGCAGTTACCTTGAGCTTTCTGTATATAATGATGAAACAATTTTTCACAAACAGTAACAATATGTACAGCTATCCTTCTATTTAATTCACAGTTTTCCTCTGCTGACTGAAAATATACAATAAATTTACTCATAAAGAAAAACAACTGGATCAAAATTACATTTCAAATCAAGTTATGAAGAAAAGAGTAATGGAAACCTTTCAAAATAGTTGACACTGCTGCTCAGTAAGATTCTATCTTTTGATAGTGCAAACATGTGGTTTGCAAAAACAAAAACTAATAAGCCTGGACCATCTATCTTTTGTTTTGTTGAATACTGAAAGTTGACCTCTATATGTCTTGTTATTTTGTGCTTTTGGGTTAATACTGTTTCTTTGATGCATAAAGTTCCCATAAACCACATCTCCATTTATTTTTATTTCAAAATTTCATGCAATTTTTAGTAGAAACAAGACCAAAACCAGGTCCGGACCTGCTTCGCTGTGTATATTTGATTGAAATTTCAAACTATCGACAAACAGGAAGTAGCTGCACAGCAGATCTAAAAATTGCTTACATGCTACAACTTAACATTATCAAGCTGTTGATAAAATCTTATGCTTTCATAGAAGCCAAGAAAACCACGAAAAAAGTTGCCTACCTAATGTCTTCCCGACTGACATACAGGATGATGGAGTGACAGACAGAGTCAAGCAGTTACTAGACCTGCTTTCGAAATTGGAGACCCAGATAAAAATAACATAAAAATGAATATCTTATGCCCTTAACCATATGAAATAAAGGTTTCATCTTGGTGAATACCCTCTTCTGATTCAACATAGTTTTTGCTATACTTTATTCTATCAGAATTCATAAAGGGTTCCGTGGAACCTGTGTCTCACCTACGATCAGTGAAAAAGTGAAATGTTGTTTTGCTATGCTGTATTCTATTAAAATGAGACATAGGGAATGACAAAAAAGATTCTAAACAAGTTTCATTGAAAAAAGATCATTGTTTCGAGAGAGTTTCAGATACATTTGTAGATATGACAAAGTTCAAGTTTTTCTATGGGAAACCACCAAAAAATCTTTGGTTAAATATAAGGAAATAAGCGTATAGCGTCATGAGAGACATTCTGTAAAACTTTCACTGGAATCCAGTCTTTGGTTTAGAAGAAGTACAAAAAGTGGAGATGTATTTATAAACCCATGAACCAATGCACAAGCTAATTATATACAGATACTTCAGTATAAGGAGGAGTATACATTACCAAGAAGGGATCATCTATCTGTGTTTTAATTTCTGGCCATAACATGTTCACCTCTCCCATCAAAATACCAGCCTGAAAATATATAACATATGCTGTAAAAATAAACATCATTCATTGAAAAATAACAATGAAAAGATGTGTTTTTATTCAAATCTTTGATCTTTGGTTTGTATTTAAGACAATAAAATGTAAAAGCCTCAAAAAACAATAAAATGTCATGAGACTGTAATTTTTTTATATACCACGGTAACAAAATATAGAAATTTTGTCATTTTTAGCAGAATATAGTTAATTAAGAAACCATAGGTAACCAAGACAAAATCAACAGCTCATGATCTGATTAAATAAAACTGAACAGATGGAAAGTTATGTGAATACAAACCAAATTTCTCTGATCATCAACAGATAAGTATGGAACATCAGGTTTGGCAGCAATCCTACGTCTAACATACTTGGCAAGAAGGTCTACTGATCTTGGTTGATGTTTTATTTCCTCCTACAAATAAATACAACCATAGTATACAAATGCTTATTCAGTATTTTTCTAAGTGTTTACTTTAACTGTTTTGTCTTACATAAAAAAAAAACCTGATATATATTTGCTCAAGATCTTGTGCAGAGGGCTCTAAAAACAGCTTTTTATGAGTAAAGGTTATATTGCCCTTTCTGAAGAAAGATGCAAAAAATCTGTATGCAATCACATAAGATGTTTCGTGACAATATAAAGGAAGTTATTCAGTTTTGTTTGAAGTGCATTATAATTTACCAATGTATCTTTGTACTTCTTTCAAATAGTTTGAATCAGCTTTCAAGAATGTGTGCAATGTATTTCACAGAAGTTAGTTTTGTTGTTATGCTTGTACAATTAATCTGTGTAAACTAATCTAAAAAAAAAATTATTTCTACTTCTATAAAGGCACTATTTCTACTTACATCTATAGGAGTAACAGGTCTCTCTAATTCCATCTTCTGTTTCCCTTCTGGAACTAAAATATAATGAGATGGAAGTACACATGAGAACAGTTAAAACAATAATCAGAAAGCAAATCAGAGAAAATCTCGTTTTCATATTTTGTTCTTTCATAAGAGAATTTTCTGACACTACAAAGTAAACTCATTATTGTTGGATTATAGGACGGTTTTCATCATCTAACAGAATAAGAACATGTTGACTTTTAACATGCTCGCTCACAAGACATGTATCCATAAAATCAAAATGTGTGAACAATATTACGTCATTGTTCAGCCTTTAACAAAGTAGAATGAATCTTTTCAACGTAGTCAGAAAAACAAACAGGTGGTTTAGACGGGAGAACAAGCAAGTTAGGTTCTACTGTATAATATTCTCACATTTAACATCAACATTATGTAAATCTTTTCAAATAAATTCTTTTTTTCATATCTTTTATAAGTTATTTTAAAATATAATGGGTTACCTCCCTTTTCTTGTTCAGATGGAGTAAACAAAGACAATGGTTCCAGGACACTGTTGATCTTCTTTGTAACTTCATTCTGTTGCAGAAATTAAAAAGTATAAATGAAAGACAAAGAAAAAAGAATGTAATTACATGAAACTTAACTCATAACTTTTGTGGACAATAAATGAACATTACATTTGATAGACCTATATAAAGGTGCATTGAAGACCTGTTGGTGGCCTTCTGCTGTTGTCTGTTCTGTGGTCGGGTTGTTGTCTTTTTGACACATTCCCCATTTCCATTCTCAATTTTATTATGTATTCAGCAAACAGGAAATTGAAGAGCTCTAAGGGATATGAAACAGTCTCACACAATACACTTTGACTAGATAACTGACATGTCATAAGAGCCCTGCTGAATAAAAGCATATTTTAAAGTCAGAATCAATTAATATTGAGTGCAGTTTGATAGTAAAGTTATTGCATATGAAATAAATGCATACAGCTATATACATGGATTTGCTTATGAGGAAAGAAAAAAAAGAAAAGAAAAGTTCATTTCATAAGAGTGTATCTGAAATTTCAAAAAATTATATTTGTACAGATAACTTGGCTCAATATGCCATTTGCATAAAATTTAGAAACACATGTGCATATGAAGCTATTATCTTTGCTTTTTTTTCTTAATGCCTAGTAACCACAGGTACAGATACTTACATGGAAAGGAGGCCATTTAACTGTGTACATCTGATCCGTTTTTTCTGGTCTTTCCATCTTTTTATGCCTGTATGTTGGAAGCCTCCATTTGGAGACCTCCACTGACTTTGAATCTGATGGCATTGTGGTCTACAAAATAAACCAAAAGACCCTGTACAAAAATGTATATTACTCAATTTACTGCAGCTCTAATGTTAATTTCACAAATAAATAAATTGAAAATCACAAAATCAAGTATTCTATAGTTGTTTTTTAAGCTTGAAGAACGTTTCTAATCTTAGCATGTTGACTTTTCCCATTTATAAATGTGGACAAAGAAGTACATTTATCTGATTCCTAGCAATAAATTAAGACAAAACTCAAAACATAATTTGATAATTCAATAACAAGAATGACAACAATGTAATATGATTTGTTAAAATACATTTTTGTAAGTGCTATGTCCATATATAAGCTACTAGCGAAATATCCATATAAGCTACTTTTTAATATGTTCATGGTAGCTCTGCAACTCAAACTGTATCAAAGTAAACATACTTCATTGACATTGTTGTTTAATGTAATTGTATACAATTATTGACTTTTGATGAGGTTGATACAATGATTTATCAACCCCAGATATATGATGTTCACCAAGGCCAACAGCCGAGGGTGAATGTCATATCTCTGCATGGGTTGATTAATCATTGTATCAAATGAAATCAAAAGTCAACAATTGTTTTATTATAGAATCATGTGCAAAACAGTGTAGACGAGACCATTGATTGGCGTGCTAAAATATCCCATTGACTGGGTCAGATTAGGTGAACGTTCGTCTGTAACGCCCACAACTCACGACGTATTTATTATAAACATTTAAACTGTGGGGTTGCCAAAGGGTCTCAGTGCCTAAATAAAATAATTCGAAAAACTAATTAGGAATAAACCTTTGTGTTTTGATTTATATTGAATACTTAAACGTTCTTTACTTGTGTTTTTGTTATGTTTTGATAATCAATTTTTATGATATCGCACGTTCTTTCAGCAAAAAAGGATTTAACTGGCTTTAAAAGTTACAATGGATGTGTTGATTATTATCTTTTTTTCGGACGTCAAAGCGATTTAACAATTGCGGTTGTCCAATTATGTCATCTTTTAACTTTTATCTGGTCAAAATTTTATTTTAGAACGCATGCATGATCAACTTTAAAAAGTGTGTAAACATAAAACATATAGACAAAATATACTTCTTTCCTGTCTTTTTCGTACTTGCAAGTTATTAGACAGTAAAAAGGCTATTTGGATCAAGCCTTTATGTTTTTGAATAGGTAAAATGTATAGATTGGTAACTACTATACTTGTGAAAAACCCTTGGCAACAGAAACATATTCAGCTTTTTTTTTAATCGACCCAATTTACATAGTAATGGACGACTTTGTACATTTTATGATCGCAAATAAAATATGTATATAATATACTGTGCACTGTTGTTCGTATATATACTGAGACCCTTTGGCAACCCCACAGTTTAAATGTTTATAATAAATACGTCGTGAGTTGTGGGCGTTACAGACGAACGTTCACCTAATCTGACCCAGTCAATGGGATATTTTAGCGCGCCAATCAATGATCTCGTCTACACTGTTTTGCACATGATTCTATGACTTTTTATCCTTGTCCAATTTTCTAGTAATTGCTCAAGATACTTTTAAAACTGCTACCTGTTTGTACTAATTATATCATTTGCTTTTGCATTTGCTTATTTTCATAAATTGAAATATTCAATAAAGTTTACTAAAAAAACTACACCGAAGACTAAAAGAAGTGAAAAAACACACCGAAAACAAGAAGGAAAAGAAAAAAATTGGGAATTCAGTGATCTCCCCAGGCCGTTTTAATATCGGGGTACCGCGACACTATAATTTTTTTCGTGACGCTATAATAATTTCCGCAACGAAATTATTATTTTGAGGATGCCATTTTTCTGGTCTCGACACATTGCCACAAAATCGATGTCCTAATTTTTGAACTTTCATCTAATTACCGCTTGTGATCATAAAAATTATATCACCTTTAATTGTAATCACCCTCAGCTGTTGGCCTTGGTGTAAATCTGGATGTTGACAAAATGGCTTACCAAGCCAAGTTGTACAATTACGAATTTTTTTCCATGTCGATTAAACAGCAATTTTTCATTTAAAAGTAAAGATATATTCAAAGATATAAACGATTTGTTTCTTTAGAAAAAAGGTGAAAGCACTGACTTTACAGATTAGTCGTGTGTTATTTCAAACTAACAACTTTTAAAGAAGTATTTTCTTTTCATTCCAGTACTTGTTACTCGAGAGCTCTCATTAAACATTTTGATATTCGGCAAAATAAGTTTTAAACTTCATCTATTCGTTAAAATGTGATGAAAATTGCCATTAGTTAAAGTTTCATCTATTTATTACATTAAAATCGTGATATTCATTCCAATTCACTTATCAAACATTGTTTATTTTCCTTAATTTTTCTTCGACCGCCATTTAAAATATTTGTCAAACAGATCATTTGCGGGATCCATCGGAACCGGACCAGCTATGACCAAAATCCGCATTTTTAAGATAATAACTACAGACACACAAATGACACAGCTGACAGAAAAATAATGATCCCAAAAGGGAAAATTATACATTCGGCACGCATCTACAGACTATTTGTTAGATCTCCTTGCTAAATGTATTAATTTCTATGTAAATGCATTGTTTCAATTTACTGATTAAAGTAGCTTAAATCTTTTTGATAAGAAACAAATGGGACTAATACATTGAGTCCCAGGAATTTCATAAACATGATAAACAGAATACTTTTTAATTGAAACATTTTTACTATATGATACTTTCTTTTCCTTTTTGATATAAAAAAAGTTCTTTTTTGTACTAGATATTTAGTTGGCACTGCTATCGTTAGGGTGAAATTTCAGTCAAACTTTACCCTTATATTTATTATAAAAATCATGCAGATCAATGATAAAAATGACACATAACATGCTTAAACTAATTACATTATGAATCTGGCCAATACACAGCAGCCATATTGTTTATTCGCGATCCAACTCCGGACCATTTCATAACTAATTTTGAGATAAAACTATTGTTCTTACCGACAAAAAACCAACAGCTAATCTAACGTGCGATTTTTAGTTTGGTCTCATTTCACTTAAGTGGAAAATCTTTCTAAAAGTTTCATTTTTCGGGACCAAAGACATTTTGTTGTTGCTATGCGCCTAAATGACACTGATTAGACTCAATAATAGGAAGCAAGACAACTCGCCCCACTGCCAAATCGCTCCACACCAAATCGCCCCACTTTTTCACCAACTCGCCCCACCTTTTAAAAAATCGCCCCACTCTTGTTTACCAACTCGCCCCACTTTCTTAAAAAATCGCTCCACTCTGGTTTATTAACTCGCCCCACTGATGACAAAGGGTTAGCCCACTTATGAAAACTTGTATACACAGAATAAAACAAATCACTTGTGATACTAATAAAAATCGAAAATTGAATATATGATTTTGATTGAGATTAAATGATGCTTTGTTTCTTAAAATAAAATTGTAGATACATTACTCATTAATATGTAATTTTCGTATTTATGATGGGATCATTAAATTCCTTTTTATAAGTGGGGCGAGTTGGTAGTCATTGATGTAGTAAGATGTTTTTCTATTTTTCATAAGTGGGGCGAGTTGGCAGGACTAAATTCATCGGGATTTAAAAAAAATTCATAAGTGGGACGAGTTTTCAGACCTTTATTCAGCGGGATTTTAACCTTTTTGATAAGTAGGGCGAGTTGGCAGACCTATATTCAACGGGATTTTACCCTTTTTCATAAGTGGAGCAGGACTATAAAATTCATCGGGATTTTAACCTTTTTACTAAGTAGGGCGAGTTGGCAGACCTATATTCAACGGGATTTTACCCTTTTTCATAAATGGAGCGAGTTGGCAGGGCTATAAAATTCATCGGGATTTTACTATTTTTTTCGCGCCCCACGCGAGTTGGCAGACCTTTATTCAGCGGGATTTTAACCTTTTCAGAAAGTGGGGCGAGTTGGTGAAAAAGTGGGGCGATTCGGCAGTGGGGCGAGTTGTCATGGATTCCTATCTATTCATAATCGACACTCTCGAATTTGTAGCCTTCTCGCCCCTAATTATTGTTCTTACCAATAACGCAATAAGCGTACATAAATCTTCAATGGCTGGCTTGGGCTCTTTTAACAAAAAAATCTTGCAACAAAAAAATGATCGCAAGTAACACTGAATTGTTCATGAATTACTGGAAAACAAGGTCTCTGCAATCATTATTCTAAAGATTATTTCAAAGTAAATTTATCAATCAATTCAATTTTTATAAGCAACATTTCAAATAATTATAATGAATATAAAAATAATTTAAAAGTCAATCAGGCAATAAACCGATGAATTAGTGTGAACAAAATTTCATGTTATGCATTTATAGTAATGTTTTGATAAAATTTTAATAATATGAATATCATATGTTAAATTTATGGAACCAACAGAAGCATTAACAAGAAGAATGCATGCGTTGTCGTGCGAAGCACACTGGTTCAAGGGTATATTTATTCCTCCTTACAAATATTGTATATCCTCTATTCCGTCAGGAACAAATACTGTAATATATCTCCCAGTGGAAATAATGTAACAGATTATTTTAACTCAGTGCGTATTTCCTTTATAAAATAATAGACGAATAAATTCACTCATGATTTTAAAGAAATTGTCTGAAAAATAAAATTGAGAATGGAAATGGGGAATGTGTCAAAGAGATAACAACCCGACAATAGAACAGACAACAGCAGAAGGTCACCAACAGGTCTTCAATGCAGCGAGAAATTCCCACACACGGAGGCGTCCTTCAGCTGGCCCCTAAACAAATATATATACTAGTTCAGTGAACTAAAATTAAAAATAATACAAGACTAACAAAGGCTAGAGGCTCCTGACTTGGGACAGGCGCAAAAATGTGACGGGGTTAAACATATTTATGAGATCTCAACCCTCCCCCTATACCTCTAGCCAATGTAGAAAAGTAAACGCATAACAATACGCACATTAAAATTCAGTTCAAGAGAAGTCCGAGTCTGATGTCAGAAGATGTAACCAAAGAAAATAAACAAAATGACAATAATACATAAATAACAACAGACTACTAGCAGTTAACTGACATGCCAGCTCCAGACTTCAATTAAACTGATTGAAAGATTATGTCTTCATCATATGAATATCAGGCACAATCCTTCCCGTTAGGGGTTTAGTATCATACCATCATAACATATATGAAAAGAACATAACCCGTGTCATGCCAACAACTGGTTTTTAAATAAATGTGTTTAGTGCCGATGCAAAGACCCTATAAGTGAATCAATATTAACGCCAAAATATGCAATCTTTAATGACCTGACAACAGTATCGTAACTATATCCCTTCTTAATAAGTCTATTTAAAGGTTTTGTTAGCTTCAGAGGTGAATACTGACATTTTTGTGCTTTATAAAGAATATTTCCATAAAAAATTGGATGTGAAATACCTGAACGTATAAGAAGTCTGCATGTTGAGCTATATTTACGAATGATGTCCTTATACCGATGATAAAATTTAGTAAATGTTTTGACTAGTTTGTGATATCGAAAACCCTGGTGTAATAATTTTTCAGTAATACATAAATTTCTCTCGTTAAAATCTAAAACATTGTTACATACACGAGCGAATCGTACAAGACTATTTACCGATTAATAGTAAAAAAAACAAACAAAAAAAAAACAATTTTGTGGACAGTACGAACTGTTTACTGGATGTAAACATTTTCCCGCAAAAAGACTATTTACCGGTTAATACTTTCAAAAACTATTTCAGGGAAGCAAAGATGCAATCGAATTAAAATATAGATCTCTGATTTTGTTATGTTCATATGACGACGAGCACGCGAGTTCCAAAGACTTCCCCGTACAATAAAGCAATTATTACTTTTTTGATTCGATCGTCACTGGTGAGTCTTTTGTAGACGAAACGCGCGTTTGGCATTTTAATCCTGCTATCTATGTTGAGTTTATTTACTGGCTATTCGGACAATAGCAAGTTCATTGTCCGAATAGCCAGTAAAAATATGTGCGTATACATTTCTTCACGGTTTGGAACTACTTTTATAACGGAACTTCTTTTCCAATTTTCCCCACTTGTAATTCAAAGTATCGACAATTATGAAGTATGTGTTCAAGTGGGTGACAGATCAGAAAATTGCATGTCATTACTTTTAATTAAGCTGCTGAATAGATATGAAGTCATTCAGTTGGAAAAATCCGTTGCGTCATAAATGCGCCCCTTTACGCCACAACTCATTTACGTCAATTATACGTTTGCGCGACTAGTTTTTTAAATACTTAGTACAATATGCTCAATTACATCTTATACATCCCAAAAGAGAAGATTCAAAAAGCTTCACAACCAACAATACTATACTGTTCTATGGTCGAGTTGTTGTCTCATTTGACACATTCCCCATTTCCATTCTCAATTTTATCACACTTCAAAATCATTAAATGAAATGAAGTCGTCATCTTTTATGGAAGACAAGATGTCATAATTCCAACTTTGCAATTCCTAATTTGTTACAGTGCAATTCGACAATTGAATGTTTGAGAATTGCAATTCGACAATTGAATGTTTGAGAATTGCAATTCGACAATTGAATGTTTGAGAATTGCAATTCGACAATTGAATGTTTGAGAATTGCAATTCGACAATTGAATGTTTGAGAATTGCAACTCGACAATTGAATGTTTGAGAATTGCAATTCGAACTATGCAACTATGTAATTCAAAATTCTAATTTGGATTTCCGTTCTTTATTGCTACATGGAACATTTGTGATATGTACTTTCATTTGAGATGAAAAAAAATGATTTCGATTTAATTTGAATATGAAATATTTGAAAACAAAAATATTCCCTCGAAGACGTTTTAACAACTCTGACGTCAACATAGGACAGTGAATAGGTTAGTTCCCTCCGTAAAATATTCAGTATGCCTTCGGAACATACTAATATTCAGCTATTAGATCGTGTCAAACTTTTCTAGACAGTGCATGACTAGCATGATGAAAAGGACGCAGATTTGAGAAAAGAATGGACATAGATTAATGACGTCTATGACGCAATATAGATACGACATCGATACGAGGAAAGCACACAGATTCGAGGCTGGACATAGATTTGAGGCTTATACTATATCGATGCAAGTAACTTAGGGGGGAAATGGATATATTTCTAAAGGTCATCTTGGAGAGAAAAAAAACTTACTTAAAATACTTTACTCTTTTGTGATTTTTATAAACTTTATTCAAAGACTTTGGTCATATAGTACTTTGTTGAGTTGTTGAATTAAAAAAGTACACATTTGGCCATCCAGTGATGTCACAAATATGAATATAAATAGAAATTTCGACAATGCTAAGTAGTTTAAAGCCTTGAAGAAGCCAATTAGTAATGCAGCTATTTCTATCTATTTTAAAAAAAATCATAGATTTTGAAATTACTTACGATTTTTTTTTCATTTGGACTTTTTTTTCAAGGACCATCGCTATGCCATGGGTCGAGTTTCCATTACTTATATTTAATCTTTTCAAAGTCCGTATCAGTCCAGTGTTTAAATTCATGTAAATTCTAGAGAGAAACCGATTACATTCTTTACATCTCTAGGGGTTTCCTACAAACACTTTGGACTGCACACCACACATGTAAATAATTCAAATTTATCCATCAAATTACTTTACAAATATATCCATGTTCTGGTCCATAATGTGACCTCCTTTCACAAATTGACGAATTTGTCTGTCCTGTAACTGACATAATTGACATACCCCCCCCCCCCCAAAAAAAAATACGGTTCCTCTACAAAGGGGGTTTAAAGATAAGTTAGATTAGATTAGATTAGGTAACAATAAGAAATTATTATTGTTACTTCCAGAACGAAAAGTCCTAAAAAATTTTTCATCAAAGTAGAAAAATATCAAATAAAAAGACGAAAGCAACATCTATAAGTAAAAAAAAAACCATCAATGATGAAGAAATAGGTCGATTGTAAAACAACAAAAACAAAAAATAAGTATGTGGACCCAGTTTTCATTAATATTCTGCGATTTTTTTCCCATTGATCCGCTATCGTCGATCAGGTTATATGGTCCGAGTACACAGTTATTTCGTAGTGCATTTCTTTTAGACAATAAATGAAAATAAAAAAAATCCCACCTGCGCTTTCTCAATAATATTTTTACAGTGTGTTGTACTACTTTTGGGACAAATTATATCAAAATTATAGAAAACTTCATCGGCTCTAACTCAAAATATGGACAATTCTATGTTAAGGGGGTCTTGAAATCTTTTGACAGCTTCCGAAGTGCTAATTTTTAACCTTTTTCAGCTGGACCAAATCACTACTTTACTTTACAATTCATGACCCAAATTTTTTTACAGTGTAATTTCATCCCCCTACTTGCTATTTGAGGCATAAAACATGAAGGAATACATTTGGAAGGGGTACTAAAAAAATTGGCAAGCAACACACTGTCCACACTAGGGACTTTATTCGTGGACAACGAAAATCAAAGGACGATAACTGTGTACTCGGACCTAATAGGATAGAAAAATTTGACCAATCTTAATAAAACTTGGTATGACTAAAGCTTAATGAATTATGAGACTGCTGACAAAGTTTCATGGCAATAGGATATACATTATAGACAATATGATAAATTCTATATTCAACTTCGCGTGTTAAATTTTGACGTTTAAATTGAAAAATTTCAACTATCAACATTTGGGGCTTTAAAAATTAAAATATTGCAAAAAATTACATTTTAAAGGCCTTAATATATGACATATTATGTATTTAAAGCAATAGAATACTCATTTGATTTATCAGACTTATCACAATTATTTAAAAGTCAAATTTATATGAGCCTGTGCCAAAAAATGGAGGTTTTCCAATGAAGGGGGGGCCTTACATGAAGATGTATTATTTTCTAGCAATTTTAAATTTGTGGAGTTTTTTGGTTATAAATAATCCTTACATATGTATTAAATGTACTTTAAATGGAAAGAAAAATTACAAATAGCATACCATATTAGTATAAAAGGGTCTTAAGCCAAGTAAGACTGAAAATAATTTAGGGTCGATTTAGGCCGTAGCACATATTTACATTTAAAAATGCATACTGAAGCTATATGAAATAAAAATTTGTGTCTTTTTTATAATTTCTATACTCAGGTTACATGATACAATAAATCTGAGCATAAAAGGACTCTTGCATTCAACTTTTTTTGCAGACAGTATGGTCTGATACAAAGATTTTTCACTTTTTAGTGAAAAACTTGCATGCAATTTTAGCCTCAGCAGGCTTATATTTGAACCACTTGCTATTTAACATAAGAAAAGAAAGATACTATGTGAAATGAAACAGGTACAAAAGACATTGTGAAGTGCTTTTAATACAAATTTAGTGAAATCTTTATTATGGACTTCAACTTTTATGTACCTAGGTCCTCACATTTAACTTGATCCAAACAGGCCGTTACACGAGGGTCATTTATACAACACATTTTACACATATTGTCTGAGATAATCTTATTTTCTGTAGATTCAGAGTTCACAAATGAGTAATACAACTGGGTTAAAGCATAGAAACACAAATATTGACACACCTGGAAAACCTGTCACATAGAAAGTCAGAATGCCACTTATGCATCAAAATTGAAAAAGCTTTGAAATGCTTATTTTGACCATATAATGCCAAAATGGGTAATTTTTGCAGAATTTCTATCAAATAAAAGTTTAAATCCTTTAGTTTCATGCTATCTGACAAATTGACACCATTAAATCATTCAGGGAAGTTGCCAAAGTACAGATTCTATATTTACTGATTTCGCCTCTTAGGTCCGAGTACACAGTTATTTCGTAGTGCATTTCTTTTAGACAATAAATGAAAATAAAAAAAATCCCACCTGCGCTTTCTCAATAATATTTTTACAGTGTGTTGTACTACTTTTGGGACAAATTATATCAAAATTATAGAAAACTTCATCGGCTCTAACTCAAAATATGGACAATTCTATGTTAAGGGGGTCTTGAAATCTTTTGACAGCTTCCGAAGTGCTAATTTTTAACCTTTTTCAGCTGGACCAAATCACTACTTTACTTTACAATTCATGACCCAAATTTTTTTACAGTGTAATTTCATCCCCCTACTTGCTATTTGAGGCATAAAACATGAAGGAATACATTTGGAAGGGGTACTAAAAAAATTGGCAAGCAACACACTGTCCACACTAGGGACTTTATTCGTGGACAACGAAAATCAAAGGACGATAACTGTGTACTCGGACCATATATATATATATAGCAATGATACACTGAAAATGGTCATTCATACCTGTCAACCTCTGGAACTGAAAATGCAGGTCATGACCTGCATTGAAGAAAAAAATGTCAGGTCATAATGCATATGAACTTTTTCGGTCCAATTTTAGTTTGAGAGTTTTTATACGACCGCAAAAAATTTTGCAGTCGTATATTGGTTTCACGTCGTCGTCATTGTAGTCAGCATCGTCCGAAGACAGTTGGTTTCCGGACAATAACTTTAGTATAATTATATAGAAATCTATGAAATTTAAACACAAGGTTTATAACCACAAAAGGAAGATTGGGATTGATTTTGGGGGTTATGGTCCTAACAGTTTAGGAATTAAGGGCCAAAAAGGGGCCCAAATAAGCATTTTTCTAGTTTCCAGACTTGTGGAACGGTGTATGGATCTCTCTGAAATTATACCACAAGGTTCCATACCACAAAAGGATGGTTAGGATTTGCTTAGGGAGGGTTATGGCTTAAACTGTTTAAGGATTAGGGACAAAAAAGGGGGAAAAACAAGGGTTTTCTGGTTATAGTAGATTTTTTATCAACAGTTTTCATTGTTTATTGTGCTTGTGTGACTACATTATTCCCGTTTAAGCTATTTTCTTAAATATTGCTTTTGTCTTTTTGTATGATAATTTTCCATTTCAAGCTACTTGACAGAGAATGGCTTTTCTCAGTTGAGAAGAGTGGGAAACAGATAACATCATATAAAGTCATTGAAGTTGCCTAGTGAAAAGCAAAACAAATATTATCATTGATCTTTCAAGTTGAGGAAGTTTCTAGGCTACATTTCATCTGTGTGCTATATCTCTACAATTGTTTCCAAAGCAATAGATAATCTATTATTGTAAATTTGATCATAACCAATGTATATATATTTATAATGTGTCCTAAAAATAAAAGCAGGACATTTGAATTTGTCATTTTTGTCGAGCCTGTGACTTCTGTCGCAGATAGAGACATAGGGATAGTGGTCCTGTGGTGGTTAACTAACTCCTTTTAAGCTTAATATTTCAGAAGGTAGTAGGCCTGGATGCTTCATACTAGAAATGTATATAGATGCCTTATGTTAGGCCATAAAAAAGAATAGGTTGGTTTGCCCTAAACCGACCGACCCATAAAAAAGCACCTGAGTCAAAATCTTTTTTTATTAAAAATTCGTGATGTTTTTTTTTTTTGCGGAGTTTTGTCGTATCCGTATCCGTCTTGAGTTTGTTGCATAGAATAACCTGATCCGATCTGACCACACTTTATCACAGGACAATTTGTGTTATGTATTAAGGTGGCATGGTAGTATTTCCTGGCCCATAAGGGATAATGATAGCCTTTTTAGAATTTTCACCACTTTCTAACACTGCTAAAAATTCTACATTCACAGTTTACTGAAGTACTTTCATTTTACTATTCAGAAATGAATTTGAATATGTATCATGACCGTTTACTTTTTTTGCTATCTTTAAGAACCTAAGGCCACTAGTGCTTTTAGGTCTTTTATCGTGCAATGAATACACAATTTAAAAAAATTCTCAAAAATTCATTTTCATCTGTATGTAAAATTATTTCATATTTTTCTACACCTGATTAATCCCTCAGTTTGGGAAAGTATGTTCAGTTGATACTGTATTTTTTGTCCAATCATAATGTTCAGATACATTGACTTAAGTAGGGTACACAAAAGAGCAACCTAAATTCTGGAATGCAAATACTACCGTGCTACCTTAACCAAGACATTTCAAACTTGAAATCAGTCATGACACCTATGATGCATAGCCTTCTTACTATGTAACATATTACAATAAAGAATACTAGTCTGCACTTATTTCTTACCAAAAAAAAATGAAAGATTACACCCCTACCCCAGCTGGCAGATTTTCATTTTTTTATCATCTTACCATTTTTACTTAAGGAGTGAACAAAATCCAAATATATGATGTTTCAAATCAACACAGAAGTCAAACATGGTGATTCAGGAGGAATTATTGGATTGCCAACTCTATTTATAGTTAATCTGACTGAAAGAAACAGTTTAAGCACCAAATCATGAAAAATGATATTAAAGTCCATTCCACATTTTACAGCATGCCTTACATTACTTTAAGCATTTCCAGATTATGAAGGCAACACAACAAGATTCTTTAGATGGCAGTTAACTATCATTCTGAAATCTTTTTGACAAACTATGTACTAGAATATATCTCTAAGTTGACTGTTTGTCTATTTCTCATGTATGCATTAAGTTAAATTATGTCCCCTTACATAATCATTTTACCTTTATTGTGCTTTTCATTGTCAGAAAATCAAAATTAATTAATGACATTTGCATGGAA